AAATTATCATTCCTCGGCAATTTTCGAATGTGAGGCTCGATTTAAAACCCAAAATTATGAGCTTTTTGGTCAACATCGTTGTATAAAGCCACCAACAATGGATACAGAAGAGCGCCTTCAAATGTATCCATAAACTTAATGCAAAATTCTGATACCACTATTCGTGCTTCACGGCAGTCATTTTGCATACCCGGTCATTTGAAGGCGAATCATTGACTTCAGGGAACGGGGTATGAATCACAACAGAGTCATCCAAAAGGCCCAAAACTACGGAGGAGGCCCTCCTGAACCCTAAGGAGCCAAACCCGGGGGCCGCCCCCCTGAACCCTAAGGAGCCGAAGCTGGGGGCCAGCCCCCTGAACACTACGGAGCCAAAGCCGGGGGCCAGCCCCCTGAACAGTAAGGAGCCAGAGCCGGGGGCCAATCCCCTGAACACTAAGGAGCCAAAGACGGGGGCCAGCCCCCTGAACACTACGGAGCCAAAGCCGGGGGCCAGCCCCCTGAGCACTAAGGAGCGAAACCCGGGTCCCAGCCCCCTGATCACTAAGGAGCCAAAGCCGGGGGCCAGCCCCCTGAACACTACGGAGCCAAAGCCGGGGGCCAGCCCCCTGAACCCTAAGGAGCCAAAGCCGGGGGCCAGACCCCTGAACACCACGGAGCCAAAGCCGGAGGCCATTCCCCTGAACACTACGGAGCCAAAGCCGGGGGCCAGCCCCCGCCGCCTGAGCACTAAGGAGCGAAACCCGGGTCCCAGCCCCCTGATCACTAAGGAGCCAAAGCCGGGGGCCAGCCCCCTGAACCCTAAGGAGCCAGAGCCGGGGGCCAGCCAAGGCGGATAAAGAATGGTGGTCGCATTTCGATTTTGGCTGCCATCTTGAAGCGTTGTGACGTCAGGAGGGTACGGGTTTTGCCGTGCAATCCGAGGTTGAGTCGGCCCCCCGGCCTCGGCCAGCCCATGTACCCGATGTACCCGATACCGTGTGACGTCCAGAGGGTACGAAATGCGACCACCATTCTTTATCCGCCTTGGGGGCCAGCCCCTGAACCCTAGGGAGCCAAAGCGGGGGGCCAGCCCTCTGAACAGTGAGGAGCCAGAGCCGGGGGTCAGCCCACTGAACACTACGGAGCCAAGGCCGGGGGCCAGCCCCCTGAACCCTAGGAAGTCAATGCCGGGGGCGAGCCCCCTGAACCCTGTTGAGCCAATACCGGGGGCGAGCCCCCTGAACCCTAAGGAGCCAAAGTCGGGGGCGAGCCCCCTGAACCCTAAGGAGGCAGAGCCGGGGGCCAGCTCCCTGAACCCTAAGGAGTTAAAGCCGGGTTCGAGCCCCCTGAACCCTAGGGAGCCAAAGCCGAGGGCGAGCCCCCGGTGCGATACGGACATCCAACAAGCTTAAATAGTTGCATCGAGTCCCCGTCACCGCCGACATACGCGTTCGTCGATCGAATCAACTGCAGGTAGTATGAACAGGCAGTCAAAACGCCTTCAATTTTTTGAACGCAATACGGACATCCGTCGTGGCTGTATAGTTGTATCAAGGCGCCGTAGCAAACGCGTCCGATTGTTTATCGTTACAGACAAATGTAAGTTGAGAGAGGAAAGTCATAATGCCTTAAATTTCATACATACATATTCTTGGGCAAAATGAGAGACGCCGTTTCTTCATTTGCGACGTTGCAGACTTCCTTTGAAATTGTATTTTTCCGTCGAGAAACTGGTCAACATAAAACTTAAATTCTCCATGATTTTTCGTATTCGATAGCAGAAGATTTGGTTCAAAATTTTAAGTCGTAAATTTGGATTGTTTCTCATGGAAGAGATGAAATAAGAACGGAAATTTTGAAACACCGCAATTGAGATACGTGGTTTCGCACTTCAGTCGGTGCGAAACGGGCGTCCATCAAGTTTAAGAAAATGCATCAAGACCCCGTCACCACCGACATACGCGTTTGTCGATCGAATCAACTACAGGGTATGAGCAGGCAGTTAAAACGCCTTCAATTTTTTGAACGCAATACGGACATCCGTCGAAGTTGTATAGTTGTATGAAGGCGCCGTAGCAAACGCCTCCCATTTCTCATCGTTACAGATGAATATAAGTTGAGAGAGGAAAGTCATAATGCCTTCAATTTTATATATTCACTAGCGGAAAGCCCGTGACTGAAGTCACGAGTCTAGTTGCTTCATAAAAAATTATTGATTTAATAACGGGGCGAGCATTCAGCCGTTATTGTTTCGGGGATGATGTACCACTATTCGACCAAATGGGCGCTTGTTTTGCCTGAGTGAGCGTGCCATTTCACGACGATACCGCTATTCGACCACGCGGAAGATCCTGTTGCCTACCCTGAAATTGAAGGCGAAATGAAATGACGTTAATTTATTCTTCTCTAGTTTGATGAAATGCTATTTTTTAGAAACGTTCTTGGAAAACGAATTAGGATGAACTTAGATTAGACGGGATAAATGCAGTAGGTATTATGCTTATCAATCCTTTTTCATCTGGAAAATGGCGTCAATTTGGTATTACGGACGTTTACGGTGGGATATGCGATTGAGACTCTGGGTCCTGTTGCTTTTTGGTTCGACAAAAAATGACTTCTCCGCATTCCATCTCTGAAATATCAAATACTTTCAAAATGGCAGCATGCGAATCCACCCGTAAACGTCCGTCATACGAAGTTTCCACCATTTTCCTCGTCATTTTGAGGTTATTCAGAATTTCAAAAATTCAATGACAGATTCGTCTTCCTCATGTCGAAATGCCTCCTGATACCAAGTCTCATGCAAATTCACCAATAAGCAGCCTAATATATATTCTCTTGCCGCTCAAGGTTGCCATATTGACTCCCGCCATTTTGAAAAGGACAACATTTTTCCGGAAAAATAATGCCAGAATCGTTTTTTTTGTTCCAAAAATCCTCTGAAAACCAAATTTCATCCCAATCCGACGACGGAAACGGAGATGTAAATTTCCGTTATTTTGAAATTTGACCGGCGGCCAGTTTGTCAAAAATCAAGAGTTTGACTTGCGGTTTGCGCCAAAAATTTTCTTTTTTAATTCTCTTTGAATTGATGTGTCACAAAGGGGATGTTGCCATTTGAAAAAAAAGTTGGGGCCCGTAGCGCGTAGCCCCTCCCACGGGGGGGAGGGGGGGGGCAAAAAGTTTGGGGGGCCCTGAAAGTAGCTAACATTGATGTTTGAACATTCCCGAAATTTTGTTTCAAAATATTAATTCCGTAAAATTTTAGAGGGGGTGGAAGGGACTTTGGAATACCCTGTATAGTTGAAAATAGAATATAGTCGGGCTGAGTGGAAAAGAAACGAACACATCAAACACAACAAACACAGCAAAACCTTTAAACACGACAAACATCCCTTTTATCCCGGTTAATATCAAAACATCCCGTTTTATCCCTATCTATATCCTATTTTAACCATATCTATCCTGATTTATTCTATCTATCCCGTTTCAAATTGATTATGCCACTTTCCCATCATGTTCCATATCGGACAATATATCAAAAATCGATAAACATGGATCAATATATCGAAGGGCGGGATAACCCTACCTATCCTGTTTTATCCTTAGCTACCCCGTTTCACGCTGATTATTTCCCTTTTCTTAAAATTCCTACCTTTTATCCCGGTGAATATCGATTAATTCCGATCCATCCCTGTCTGTCCTGCTTTATATCGAACGATAAATCGAGGATCGATATACAATACAATATTTTATCCCTATGAATGAAACCCCGAAAAAATGGTGGTGGGGGAGCAAGGCATGCCATAAGAAAAATAAATATAAATAAAATGAGTGGGGGGGGGGGCTGCAGGAGTTAGAAAAATGAGCTGGAAGGGGGGGAGGTAGAATAAATGCTGGCAAGAAATTAGAACTAACCTAGCTATGATTTATTAAAAAAAAAAAAAAAAAAAAAAAAAAAAAAGGTAGCATAAAATCCGCTGACTCGGCCGGGAAATGAAAATAGGTAAAACATCACCTGATAGCAAGCAAAGGTTACCAAGGAAACCAAGGAATGGAACTTTCATAAATACAGTTTAGTGGAAAACAGCGTAAGTAGGGCACTTACGTTAATTACCGTTTATAAGTAAATGGTAAAAGCGATTTAACCGAAAATCTATACAGTTCTTCATAAGACCAAAATGGACAAAATTGCAAAATTTGAAGAGGCTAACGTAAATCTAACGATAGTTATCGTGAACGAAAGAATTGACGACATAGGTCGGGTAACTATTATAGGTGGGATGTAGAATGGAAATTAAAACCCTGGTAAGCGCCGGGGTGCTAAAATTGTGCATGCTATTCTTTCTATAAAAGAGCCTAAGTACATGCCTTTGCTTCATTCATTTTCAGTAGGAAATTTTCTCTTATTTTTGATCCTACTATAACTTAAGACAATGATTATTATTCTAGGGACATTACAATCCTTTCGTAAGACAGAAATAGTTTCAAAATCTTGGCAACATCTGATGGCGCATGAATACCAGATTTGGAATTTCCACCCTTTGAATGGCGAAAGATCTTTGACATATTGAAACCAATCATTATAGAGAGATAAAAAAAGGGGAAAAAAAGAAATTAAACGACTTTAAACATACATCAAAGGCATATGAACCATCCTCTCGTGATGTTCTGCCATAACTCAAGAATTTTGCTACATCCAATATAACTTTCATCAGTGATATTGTGGGTAGAGTCCGGGCCAAATAAGTTTAGGCACTTATCAACTACGACAGAAGATTTTTCGCCATCAGTTTTGCATTTGAAGTAGATGTAAGAATCAAGATGGCAGATCTTCTGTTGGAGTCTAAGTGCGTAAATTTATTTGATCGTTACCTACCATATCTCTTCTTGGAAGATGGAAGGGAAAGTTGACTTATGGACTCTTACAAAAAATATCTGGTCAAATAATTTTGATAAATAAATTGAGAATTAAGAGAGGTTCTCCTCACAAATGTCATAATAGGTTTAAATAAACATTTGAAATTTTATAAAAGATTATTTACTTTGGAATTTAGGAATTAAAATACACAGAGTGGAGAAACACAAAAGATGAGCGGTTAACAATTCCTTTGAAAAAGAGAAAAATAACTCTTTCATTTAGCTGACAATCAATGAGTTTTAAAACTAACAAGTAATGAATATTCAATTGAGACATGGCAACACTTCAAGAAGAATAGAACGTAATTATATGGAAAATTGGACTCAAAATTCAGATAGGACAAGAATAAGCTTGGGTGAATCTTTTTGTAAGTGCCCTAGAGCTTACAAAATAACCATAAATTAAAATAATTTTCAACAGTTCTTGTACTTTCATGATCTGATTAGTTCTTCTTACCCTCCCTTAAAAACTTCTTCCTTAAAAAGAGCTCCAGTTTGGCACACTAAATTTCAACTGTAAGTCATTTATTAAAAGTAGACAGGTAATTATGCATAACAACACCTTACTTCCGGATACATGAGTAAGTAATGAAAAACTTCACCTACATTTTTAAGAAATTAAAAATAAGTCAGGTACTCAGTCTTGTTAAATTGCTTGATAACACTGAAAACAACCAATCTTTCGGAGCTCAAAGTATATCTCCTACGAATGCGAAAAAAGATTAGGAGCCTTCTCATAAGCAGCTTCTTGAAATGGTGCTGCAATGAAAGATGGTTCGTGATGAATAATTTTGGCATTTTCACTAGAGAGTCTGCTTATCACTTTGAGAGTACTAACTTATGATGATCATTTAATATTATTTTGAGAACAAAAGTCAATTAACTATACAAATACTAACTATAGATATACTGTACATACAGAACAATCGCATACACAGATATACAACATACATTTTTTTTCATAAGACTTTGGTTATTCACATTCAGCACAACACTCCCTCACCCCTCACAAGTGCTTGGGACTAGACCCCTCTTCTTGATCATTGCAAAATTCTTCAAACCCTCAATTTCAGATCAGCTTTATTATCAGGTAAGTAAGTATGAGAGGGGTGTGTAAGACGTTTAGTTCTATGAGTGCAAATAAGTTTTTTAGTCACCACCTGCAAAGAGCTTTTCTTGATCCATTTTATCAATGTGGTTGATGGGAAATTGAAGATTTCATCTACTGGGTAATTGGCAAAAATAGAGAGAGGGGAGGTCCTGCTATTTTAACTAAATGATATGAACAATCCATTACTACAGCTTTCATTCTACAATCATCAAAAGGCAATTTTTTAAAGTCATTAGAGGGGAGAATTTCTGACTAATTTACTGAAAAAAAAAGAAAAAAAAGCTTACCGAAATCCTTGATTAATGAATGATCAGCTTAGAGCAAGTCCGTTATGGAAGGAGTGCTATGAGGTTAAGGCTCTCTTGCTTTGTGAGGAGGAGTGAGCTATGATACAGGGGAAATTACTACTGTAATTATCGAGCAGGATGTAAAAAGTGATGAATTCGCTAATTTTAACAGCAAACCAAATTCTTGCTGCTTCTGTGATTGAAGTCTCTGTGTAAATATAAATACTGAAGCTCTAATGAAAATATTATAAAATCCGTTAACAAGAAAAAGCTGATAAAATTACTGATAAATGCTTTAACAATCAGAAAAACTGTCCTTACAAAAGAATGAAAACTTAAACTCTCAAATCACTAAATATCACAGAAATATTAGGTACTTGAATAAATTGATACAGGTTATGACGCTCCTTAAAAATGGCAATAAAAAAGGCTAAAACCCAAAATTTTAGGCATCATGGGGAGGAAAAACTTTATGCTACAAAAATAAATATTACACAATTTCTCCTTCAGCGTTTTTTCTTTTTCGGTCATGAAACAAGGTCCATATTGTGAGCTTTAAAATAGCTTCCTTTTGATGAAAGCTTATCAAATAATTCTTTCATTTTTGGCAAGAATTCTACGTTTAAAATCACTGACTCTTTCCCCATTGATGGACGTAAAAAGAAATTTTAAAAAATTAATTATTTATGATCAGAAAGTGAAATAATATGCGGCGAACTTCAGACATTTCAGATCAAGAACGTAAAATTCAAGTATGCACTTCAACAGTTGTTAAAATGTGGTCAGGAGTTAAAGATGAGTCGGAGTCCGGACTGTTACACTCGCAGTTTTCATTTGCTGAAAGAGCCGTTTTGTCACTGACTTTTTCTGCTTCAAGATTACTTGCACCTAAAAAACGCAAAAGAATTTTCGTTAAACGATATTATAAAAAATGGAAAATGCATTCATTATGTATATAATTAGAACAGTTCAATTAACTTTCAAATTTTGAGAGAGCCTTAAAAGAAATAATATAAGAACGAGGAGGTGATATAATAAATGGACTAAAGATGGACGGCTTGAGATATTATACTTGAGATATACTTTAGTGTAATGGTCTCCCTTGAAGAACCTCATATACCAATTGGGATTTTTTTTTAAAAAAAGAGAGCAAAGAGGGAAGAAAAAAACTAGTTTGAACAGAGGTAATTTTACTTGGATAAAAACCTAAAACATACTTGAATCATACTTTTTCTTTTCTCTCTTGATGCTTCCATAATTATTAGCAAGATTCGATATGTTTTTGTTTAGATATTTTACGCTTTTTTTTATTTTCATTTTTGTTCTCTGTATAGTTTATTGTCTTCTTTCTTTTAAAATTCTTTACTAAAAGTGGCGATGTAATATAGACACTCCAATGGATACGTAACATAAATTAGTCTATGAATGATTCCATGCTTATATTTACTTATACTAAGCAGAATAAAAAAAAAGGGTAAAAAATTAAGTCTGAAAAATATTCACAGGTAGTATTGCATCTGACTCATTCGTCCCCCACACACAAATAAAACATGCAGGCATGCTCAGTGAAACACTTTTAAGATTTGTTTTGCCTTCCCTGCAAATTCACAACTTCCTGACAAAAATTTCTTCACTATTCCCATTTGCTGCTGTCCATGAATTTGATTTGGAATATGTTCTAGTTTCAAATGATACTGATGAAATTTGTTATTTCTGTTTGATCGTCTACCTACACAGAACTATAAACAAATCCGAGCATGGAAGTGTAGAAATTCCGATTGTTAGACTTGGGTAATTTGGAAATTTCTCCTGCTATCTGTCAGGAAAACAAGTATGAAATTCTAATGACATGTTTCTTAACTAGCTTGAAGTATTTTGACTACAATGAGCATTTTAAGGACATTGATAATCTACTGACTTCTGGAAAAAATTCTAAAACTTACTGTTTCATGTTATGTAGCAACTACATGACACTTGACATATAAAATAAGCTACAACTTTTAGCTTTTATTGTGTTGTACTAAATTGTGAATAAATAAATAAAAGTAAAAGATGACGAGAAAAAAAATTCACAACTTTGGAGTATAATCCATGACGTGAATTTGTCAGTAGTTGATTCTGAAATTCTTTTTAAGAATATTATATTAACTTGGGGGGGGGGGGGTGTAATTTACATTCGGTTGTGGACACTCATACAATGAAACCCCCAGTGACGGACAAATTAAGATGAAAATTTGCAAGAGCCACAGTCTGCTTTGGGAGGCAGCACCAATTGTGCATTCAAAACACGAATTACACAAGTCATGCTCAAGCTTTAGTTCCATTCTAATTGTTTAAATCGTTGAATACCTGGAAAACATAAAGGAGTTACTTTCCAGCAGCCTGCTTTCATCATGAAAAACTTACCACAGGGCCGATTTCGTCCATCACATGCAACTTTTTGAAAAATGCAATGTATCATTGTTTTTTCTAACTCTGAGCTGAAGAGAAAATAACCCAGTCCACATCCAAGAACAATTGCTATGCCAATGTAGCCATTGAAAGTCATCACACTCAGCATTAAGAAGTAACTTAAGATTGTTTGAGAGAGGAACCACAAGAATTGACTGACTGGATGAAGCTCCCTGGAAAAAAGAGCAAAAATAAAAAATTAAATAATCAAAGCATTTTGATGGGGAGACTGCAAAAATGCATGTCTTAGTTGCATTGTTTCAACATCTACGCTCCTGTTTTATTTTTTAAAAAGAGGACGAACCAACATTTTGATCGTAAATTTTCACAGCATATTCTTCACATTGAGAAGGAAAATTATTGAAATTTTCAAGAGGTGACGTTATTGTAACTGTGTGAATGAAGACTAGGAGAGTGTGAACTATAAATACTCTATTATTCATTGTCATTTTGACTTTACACAAATCAAGAACTACATGCTTTAGAGATAAGCCTAACTGAATTCCCTGGTAACAACTGATAACTACAACGTGTGTTCAATGTCCTGAAGGATCTAGAAATGACCTTGCCGTGCCGGTCACAGAGACAGAAATGGCTCCTGATGGCAGCAGCTCATCGATGCCATCAGAAGCAGCCTCAATGGCCGGAGATTCATAGATACAACAGACATTGAGTAGTTTTTCGAGGGGAAAATAAAGTATGACAGGAGGTCTACGATGCCACAAACCAAGAGAGACACCTCTGCAGTTTCACCATCAATTTATTACATCAATGACAAATTCTGCTCTCATTTAAATTTCTGTTCTCTTTCAGTGGATATAAATGCATATGAAATCTATTGCTAGAATTTTTTGCAGTCATTTCTTTTGAGGACCAAAGAAATGATGAAAATATTCTCTGTTCAAGTAGAAAGGTTGGAAGAAACAAAATGCAAACTTAAGACACTTTCCATGATCCAATTTAAAACGCTGTCTTCCAGAGTAAGAAGAATCAAGTTTCTGCATATCTGCCTGTCTTGCTATGGACAGTCAAACAAATCATAGGAACGAAGCTCAAAGGTTGTTAAAAGCCAACAATAAGAGAGGTAGGTGAAGCATTTGTGGTGACTGATAAATTTTACAGCTTATTTCAGTAACATCCCATGCATGTTTTGGGGCCATTCATAACTCATGGAACGCTAAATGGAGGGGGGGGGGAGGTTCAGGAGAGCATAATAGCATTTTATTTTTATGTGTTAAATGATAGGGGCCTACGTCACAAAAGCGTTCCAAAGGGGGAGGGGGGAGTGTTGGAGGTCAAAAATGCCAAAAAAAGCATCACTTAATTTACAAATACTCCTTTTTATGATTTTTGGTTTTAAAATTTTCAAGAATAACCTTCACAAGGGATATTTTCAGCTAACATGCTACACTTATTACTATCAAATGAGACATTAAAAATTCTAGTGAACTGACTGATTTTGAAGGAAAAAATGTGAGTTTGACATTGAAAAAATGTCAATTTGCAGTTATCGAGAAAAAGAAAAAAGAAAACAATAACATGAGGTTGAGAAAGTTCAAGAGAAAACTTTCGAGAGCTTGATAATATTTCAGAAATCATTTTTTCTTAGCTTTAGCTAAACATTTTGAGATTCTTTGAGATTGATATCTCTGGACCAAAAGCATTATGAACAAAATCTTTCTACAGTACGAAAAACTTGAAATGACTTTTACCTTGCTGATGGTCTCGTGTACCTTCCAGAAGCATCTTGAGTCAAAAGCGCTGACATCTCAGAGAAACAACTAAAAAAGGAACGGTTGGGAATGGTACGATGAAGTTTCCGCAACTCGTACACAATCTTGACATTTTCATGCACTATTGCTATGATAAAAAGAGCAGCACATAATCCACTGAATGCTGTAACAAAAAAAAAAAAAAAGGAATACAGATGTAGAACTGCAAATCGACGGTGAAACTACCAAACCACGTATCTCGTTTGCGGTGTTTAAAAATCTCCGCTCACATTTTATTTTTTTGAAGTAGACCAAATCAATATCATTCCTTGAAATTTTCACAGAATTTTTTCCACACAAAGAGGAAAAATCACGGAAATTTTCAAGACTGGACGTTAAGTAGCTTTTCATTTAAAAAATAAAGTATGACAGGAAGTCTGCGACGTCGCAAACCGAGATACGTGGTTTGGTAGTTTCACCGTCGAAATGCTGCTGGCTTGAAATCAATAGAAAGACAGAAGGTTTCCGGCTGCTTATTGTTAAGCACCGGATGTGAATAACTCCACGTTGGCAGCTTACCAGTATTAAGTATGTGCTCTTTGTGAGGTAAACCGTTAATCTTGTAACTTCGGGGAGTCAATTCTGTTGGTAGTCTACTTTCAAATTGACTAGTGCTATTAAAACAAGACTGTATTTTGCTCTGATAGATATTACAGGTACAGGTTGCACATTTTTTCATAAGGCAAACCTGTACTTCAACTGGAAGATAAAAACACAGGATTACGAGAACCTGTCAGTATTGTAAAACTTTTGGTATACCCTTCTAATTTCACTTTCAATGCAGCGACAAAAAGACACTAGATCTTCTGACTCGTTCAAGAGGTGAGGAAATTCCACACCCCTTGCGTCCTCCATTTCTCATATATTCTCATGACTAATTTTTTTATCTCCGCTGATTTTGAAAATCCTCTCTCTCAACATGCTCATTTGAATGATAAATCCAGAGCCAGTTCATAGACATTCAGTGGCTTGAACCATTCACAGGAACCTTGTACGGCACCCGAAGACCAGGCTCCGGCAAATACAAATAAAGGACGTTCAAGAAATATATAGAGCCTCCATTCCTGTTACATTTTGGCTTCGAGCAAGATTTCAGGCTTTAAATACGGCAAATATTAGAGCCCCTTGCATCTATGAAGGCATCGGAGACCACCCCAGATTCCAAAACAGAGACATGGAGAAAGCATGCCGGAAACTTCCACATTCATTACAGAAATTGAAGGCTCTTTCAAAAGTTACTGCACACACGATCACTGAAGACAAAAATAGATAACAATATTTACCTGCGACTGAATGAATACTAAATCCAGGGATCATGAAGTCAGATAAGTCCGTACCAAACCAGAAAGCCATCATTATAGATCAAGACTGCTTTGACAAGGCTGAATTTTCTCTGTCGTGTAAAGAATATACGGATTTAAAAGTATCAAAAAAGTGTTCTATGATTGGGAGAGAAATGACAGATGATGGTTGAGACAATGATACGAGTAACTTGGAACTGAAACTTTGGCAGCGAGGCAAAAGTAGATGCATGCTGGTCCCCAGTTATCAGACAACCTCATTAAGTGGATGAGACATTACCGGTCCGTAAAAATAAACAAATAATTGCGAAATATATAGAGGTAAACCGAATAAAACCATTCAAATTAAACACAGTTTGGAGTGGAAAATCATGACTCTTGCAAACATTCCTTGGGCATTCTGGCATATCACTAGAGCACTAAAATGCATGAGGTGCTGAACTCGCTGCTGTGGAACAAAGGAATGGATCCAGGAAATTCTGCATAATGATGACACTCAAAAACTCAAAACAACACTCGATCAAACGTTAATTGATAATCGTTCAACAAGGCGACTCCTGATAACTTATCACTTTCCCATCGTTCACATGACACATTTCTCTCCTGAGACACGTTATCAGTGTTCAGTGCGTTTCACGGAACCCTCCTACTCTATTGGCTAACCCACAGAGGATGATAACCAATGAGAAGCCTGCACAGACTCGATGACGTCATCATTCAGCGCGGGCTGATTCAAATCGACAGGTTTAGAAGATGACGCCAAGCTTCTAAATAAGGTTCTTATCAAATACTCAAAACATTTTCGATCGGAATGTTATTTGATTCTCTTATAAAAAACGAAAAAAGAGAGGGAAACAGACACAATCTGCTGTTGTCAGGCTGAATCAGTACCGTGAGTCGGATTAGACACTGAAATTCTAATATTGTCTCCCTGAAGATAGTTGAAGATGCAATTTATTGACAACTCTTTGAACTGAAGTGTTCAGAAAAAAGTTAGCAATAGACGTTATTAGTGGCGATGACATAATAGGGATTCTCCATTCTATTGAATTGGATCCAAACGATAACATTGGCGTAACCTCTTTCAATGCTACTGATGCGAATAAATCAATATATATCGCTTTTTTGAGATGTGCCACTAATGGCGTCTATGGAGGATTTCTGAGTGCCTGAAATGAGATGAATTGTATTTTTATGGAAACTCCCAAGTGAACTGAGCACTAGGCTACTTACAAAATTGCACAATAAGGCAGGGGCAAATGACATGATCTACTAATATTAATGGGTTTAGGAGAAAAATTCTTCCTGATGACAATTCAAAGCAGTGTATTTTCTCACTTTAAAAACTCTTTTCCTGCAATTTTCTGAACAAAAATATAAAATACCAACTTAGCCCATTGAGGACACTCTAGAGTAATAAATTTTTTTACAGCAAATTATCCAATTGACAAGACTCTGATAAACTTCCTCGCTTGAGGTAATTTTTTATGAAGGAGGTAGATTTATTTTACTGGATTAAACTAGTTCTGTTTAGGCATCTGTATTGTTTGAGGCTTTGGATGCAGAGCGGGCATTTCTTAGTTGCCGTGTTTCAAAATCTCCAATGCTGATCAACATTTAAGAGGGGAAACAATTGGGTAAATTTTCTGAAATTTTCCGCTTTCAGCATTGTAAAATCATACAGAACATGCAGTGCAAGTTCAATAAATTCCGTAAATTTGCTTTAATCATAATGGATGAAACGTTGGCAGAGATTCTTAGACACCCCAACCAAGCAATGCTCTTTCTGCACCCAGCCCTTTATTTGCGAACCACGAATGGTACTACAAAAATTGAAAAGATTTGGGAGTACTTGATGAAGCAATGTCTGATCAAAGAATAGAATTAAAAATAACATCAGTCACAGATGGTTTATTTGTCAAAACATATACAAAAGATAGAAACAAAAAATGAAATACATACACACTTAAGATCTAGGTCTTTCTTTCTTTTCTTTGTATAAAGCTAGAAGAGACACGTTAGCTACTTTCACCACCTTGAATCTGACTCCTGAAAACAGATAATCAAAAATACATCAGAAATCAGATAGACCAGGTAATAACAGAGGATTATTAATTAAATTTTTCTTTTTTGAGGACTCTTCATCAAGAAAAGACGTACAAATAGACTTGACTTTTTTAGAACCATTAAGAAACGGAATGGGTCAATAGCAACAAGGGTGCAGAAACTTTATGACCGCAGAACTTTTCGCAGAAATGGGGGCACTCATGTTAGGATAAGAAACATTCAAGCGCGCTGTTTTGGGGGAACAAAACTGTCCACCACATTACTTTATAAGTCCGGCAAAATTCTGCAAAAACTTTAAGTTGAGGAGCCCTTGGAGGTTTCTGCACCCCTAAATTGCAGTAAAAACTGATTCGTGTTCGGAGACTGAATCCTGAAAATTGGCAAATAATCATTGGTATTGCCTCTTCCTTGAATCAGCGTGCTACCTTTGATTTCTCTGAAGGGATGGGGTATTTCTTGTTACAGCAGATTTTCATAGTTGCCCCTTTTAGGAAGTTTCCATTTCCCCTGTGTTTTTCCTGCATGGGTCAGAAACTGACCACAGGGACAACACTTGATTGAAAATGGCACTGCTATTTCTTCATCCTGAATTACCAAGAATCCCTGCTGATTTTTCTGAATTTGAAACAAACGACTCTTATTGGCCACTTTTCTTCCTCCATCAAAATCTGACTTCTTAGGGTTTCCAAGGGTCCCTCATTTTTCTCTTCCCTGACTTTCCTCAGCCTTCTTTTTTGCTATTCTTCCACTCCATGAATTCAACATTTTCTGATTTTCCGTTAAGCTTTGATCAAAACTTCCACTTAGATTTTTTTCAATATGATTACCTACATTCACTGTGCTAGACAAGATATAGACTAAGTAAATTTCCACTCCTGGAAATTCTAATTAGGGAAAAAGATACTCAGAAGTTGTTCGCACTTTCTCTAATAGCCCCAATTATAGTTGCTTAGCTGACGCAAAATTCACTGATGTCCCCATTGGGTTAGTTGTGCTGGTTCCAGAATCGTGTTTTGATGCTTGATTCTAGCAGATTAGCTAAAAATAATGAATTCCGTCCAAACAGCAACTTTCTATATACAATATTAACACAGATATTGCACTTAGAGTTGAGTTTTCGACTCCATCCTCCGCGGTAGTGACACACATTGTTTTTTCTTTCTTACTTTTACTAGAGTTTCATGATGTGTAACCAGTGCAAATGTATGCTGCCCTGAATGATCAATGAAAGGTGGAAAAAACCAAGGGTGTCACTACCGCGGTTGATAACGTCATAAACCAAATTTTTCAGAGCACGATTTTTCAGTTCATGTTGTACGTAGGAAGTTGCTGTTTAGACAGATCTTATTATTTTTAGCAAGAATCAAGCACCAAAACACATTTCTGTGACCCGCGCAACTAACCCATTGCCAGAAATTCTGGGATTCACAAGGCTAGAAGACCAATTTCCTGTATCAGTCTACCATTCCATGGGTTCTCCTACACCAGCCGATTCTTCTGGTTTTCGTAGGACAACCATCCTTACTGTATTGAGGGCACTTAGTCTTGAATTTTGGGATTTTCTTAGTACACAAACAGTAACCAATAGACAAGATCTGAAGTGGAGGAAGACATGTCTTCCCTTCAAAATCTTACATAGAAAACGATTCACACAAGGAGAAGTTTTGTTATACAAACGACGTCATTTATAATTTTGACATTTGACCGATATTACTTGGAAACACTTGTATCTTGTTAAGGAGTTCATTTTCTGACTTCCCATTGTGTGATTTGTTTTCCTTGTGATATTCCAAAGAGAAAACATGCAGCGTTGTGCTTTAATTCACACTTTGTTTAGAGTCCCATCGATTCTATTGACTTCATCCTTTTAGTTTCATGTATTTAAACTAATATGATAACACAAAGCACATGGGATAACATGGCTTTGTTCATGGAAATACCCTAGACCTATGATCTCTGGCTGCTGCTTTCGGGGAAATATTTGGATATTAGGTATGGATGTTTCTTTCCAGTTTTACTCTTTCTTCCCAACAAAGGCAAATGATTGGTCTTTCATAAGGGAAGCTCCTTGCTGAAATTTCAAAACGGAGAGATTTGGGCTTCGGTGGGAGCAGATGCATGAAAAGAGTCATAATCCTTACCGGGGATATCTCCAACAGCGTGACCTTTACGACCAAATCCAGCGACTAATACTTCATCGTTTTCTTCAATATAATTTAAACAACCGTCACGGGGGACGAAGGCTGTGATCTTTTTACCGTTCTTGATGAGCTGTACTCTCACACACTTCCTGATAGCAGAGTTGGGTTGTTTGGCTTCTACTCCACTGAAACAGAAATTCAGAGATACTCAAATAATGTTAGATCAGGAATACCTTGCAAAATAATGCTGATTCAATGAAAGCTAAATGAACACCTGGTTTATAAAATAGATATAGTAGGAAAATAGGAAAGGATACAAAGGACTGAATGGGATTAGCCTTTGCGGCTATTGATGGTGACAGCAATTCAAATTAAAAAATCTCCTCAGATTATATAATGCAATGCACAAGCATTTTCTGAACCCTTGGCTGGTACAAATAAATAGTAGTGAGTAACTGGAGGTTATATCAGGTTTTCTTCAATGCTTCAATGATTATCCATTACACACAGAGAAGAAGGTATCGAGAAAAGTTCAGTAAAAATTTCAGCCTGCATAATTTTTCAAGAGTTTCTTCTCGTCATTTGGTTCAAATGCTCAATTTACTCTATTAAGACTGAGCTTCTAATGTCCCTTTGAAAAATCTTACACATTTCCAAGACTTGATAAAAGTATGTATACTTACACTTTTTCCAACACGATTCCTTTGGCATGAGAGGCACCACCAAAGGGATTGGCCTTCCATCTCGTTCCCAAATGAGCTTTCTTGTAGTCCTGGTCAGCCCATCTGTTTTCACGACGGTTGTTAACGTGCTTGCGAGCGGTACGTAATCCACGAGGTTTACCTGAAAAAGGAAGGGCAATAATATGAATTCATAGGAAAAGTGATATCAAGGGTAAGTACTAGAAAAAACAACAAACTTGGGAGGTGCACAAATGTGAAAGATAGCTGCACAAAGATAAGGAGCCGTTGCCAGAACCTTGTTGACAAGAATGTCAATTTAATTAGTCACCCGCTGGACTATTAGTTTCCATTATTGAGAAACCAAGAATGGCTTGAGCCTGCTGTAAAAAAAGCTCAACTTTCTTACAGCTTGACCTTAGAATATTATTAAGGAGACATCAAGTCAAACTTAAAGGTTAGGTTTCTCAACTTGCGGTCGACCGTAAAGTAAAGAGATTAGGGCCTTATTCTAGTTGGCTCGGCTAGTCAGTGATGCTGGGAAAAATAATAATGATCACTCAAAAGAGTTGATGTTTCCAGTCAATGTTGTAAATGGGAAACCCTGAGATAGTGCAAGGATGCAGCTTCGGCGATACATGTCGCACTACCCACCGCAATATAAATTGAGTGCCTCTCGCTAACAAAAGGATCATGAGTCGTTCAGAGTGACATTAATCCTTTGATCAGACATAGAACTGCAAAGGGCTATTTGGCATGAGGAATCAATTGAAATTAACATGTTGCATACGGCCGATAGGCACTTGCGGCAAGGCGCTCACGCTCACGTGGCTGTGCGAACCGGGGAATAGATAAAATCGGTGAGAAGAGAAGACACAAGGATTTTTGGAGAATTACCCTAGTTTATTCGATCTGGATACATTAAACTTGAATAATTAACACTTACCCATTGCTAAAATAGAAAAATAGCACGTTCACAAAACAAGGTGGCTTACGTCGCGGGAGAAAATGGCTGACGAAAAAATATGGAATTTTGGAATTTGTGGACGTTGGATGTTCAGTAATAGTTCGCCAGATTGCAGCACGGTCGCATGGAAGCGGGAAATTTCAAATTTTTTTAAGGGGATGGGTCGGTGAACAATTGCTTCGAATGCAGTTTTTGCTATTTCAAGAAAATGTAAGGTAAGAATATGTTTAAAGTTTCAAAATTACGTAGAGCCTTATAGAGAAAGAAAGCTCAACTCACATTATAATTCTTAAAAATTGAATTTTAGTGGTGAATTTTTCTGAAAATGCACTGAAAATGGTTTTCGTTGAAATCATTTATGTCTCAAGTTTTTCAAAACCTTTACTTACCCCACTTGTTTTCCAAGCCCCTCATTTGTGCATTAAAGATATAGATCTCTGCAATAATAACAATAAGGAGATAAACTTGACAATATGTCAAGACAGAGCTAAGTTTCATATCGATTTCAAGCAAAACACTTTGGTATTGAAGTATTTTGTCATGATTTTTTTTATTTTTTTAAGGATGACTTGCTAACAATAAGTGTCGTTATACGTATTGCTCAAAATTTTGAATGATTCTTATTTGTTTTTCCAGAAAAATAGGCTGAAAACTCAAGCAAAATTACCATATAGTGTGTACTGGAAATTTAAAGTAATAATAGAAATTTGAAAGCAGGACGATCAAATACCTTGGAGTTTTTCAGATATCACAATCATAGTGAAATCAGCGATGAGTCAGATTTACGAGTAAGAGCAGGATAAATTTCACGAAAACTGCAAATTATTATGCAAGATAATTGTTTTAATATTTACAATTTTTATGACTCTTCATTCAAGTATTTTAACTGGCCTTTTAAATGGCAATACCTAACATGAACAGGATCCTCTCAATCATCCGAGATTTCGGAAAAAGCTGAAAGAAGGCTTGCATTATGAGATTGCTGTTCTTGATAGGCGTAAAATACTCTTGAAATACAGTACAGAAGTGAGAGCATTACTTCAAAACAAAGCCCAGATCAAAACTGTTCAAGACTTTTTTTGCCACTCCGTTAAATGCAGTTGTCAATTTGAATACCTTGGCTCTCACCTGGCTGAATTGCTTAGTGTTTTGGCTTTGTGCTAAAGATGGACTTAATGTTAACCCATTAGCGACCCATCAAAATATACCTTGATGACTGAACCCCTGCACTGCTGCTTTAAGAAGAGACGCCCTATGAGCCCTCATACACTGCCAAATTTCCTTCGACACAACACAAATTTCCAAGAAAATTTGAGCATATTTTTCTCTCAATTTTTAGCTAATTTTGTTCATGGTTAAAAAAAATTCTAAAAAGCCCAAGGAAAAATATCCATGATTTTCCTCAAAAATAAACATTTTTTGAGAGGAAAATTGGCAACATTTGAAGGTTTAAATGGCACTCTTCCTTAGCACGGCAGCACGGGTGCGCAGAGTTCTTTGATGTTTTCAAGACCTTAGTAATGTTTCCTCCTCTACAATCTGTGGGTATCAAACTAAGCTTCTAAGACCTGCTTGATTCATTCATTAGACTGAAAATTTAGGTGAAAAATCTAGCTTGAAAATCTGGTTACCTAATAGATGAGCTGGGAGTGACTACGGATTAAAATAGACTACCAAAAATAACAAGAATAGGAATATAAAATTTATGTACATAAAAATTACAAGGAAAATTACATGATTAGGATCTGAAAGTTATTTTCAAAAACGGTTTTGATTTAAACAAAGAGGACATAGAGTTATGCTAGTCTGTATTAGATTGGACATTTACTTAATCTCCACGTAATTTCTTTTTTTTCCGTTTCTTGAACCTGTCGAGGACAGATGGTGTAGAAGGTTCTCCTTCTTCCTCTTCTTTACCATACAATTCTTCTCTTAATTTCAGCTGCTTCGTTTGGAATGCCTTGTTAAATTTCTGCAAGAAAAAAGGAAAAAATTACTGGCAAGCACCATTAGGGGACATATTCAGTATGATGGCTAACCTCAAACCTTTTGATATTGGTGTCAGATCATTTATGATAGAAATAAAATCCAATTACAATTGTTCCCTTACACAAAGATGACCCTTATCAGAGACGAATCTCAATTTTTTTCCAAAACTTTGTTTGTTGAAAAAATGTTTCGTTCTGAATCTAAGATTTCCTGCCTTAAATCTAAGACCCTCGTGCAAATGTTTTTTAAAAGCGATGGAAAAGGAATATGAAATGAAATAGAATAGAGTAAATACACACAACATTATGTTTGTAATATATTATAAGTAGGTAGTAAAATGATTAAGAAGGAAGTAATGAACAGTTGGCAAATTGCATGGTTAGAGCCAGTATCGATTACTTCCATACATGTTCGATCCACGATTTCTTTCAAATGGAACCATTTAGAAGCCACTACGACAGCTCAAAAATCCTTCCGACATATAAGAACCACGCTATCGTGGCAGCGCTGGAGTTTGATCTACCAATGCAATGACTGGCAGTTGGTTGGATTGCGAGTGAGTCGTTCAAAAACCTGGTGCAGGCCATCACCTGTCTTGTTTTTCAGATTATTTGTTAGAACACAGTTTTAAACTATTTTCGTACTAATTCCAGGGTCAGAGTAGTTACAATTGGACGGAGTTAAACAGAAAGGAACCAAGCCACGTCGGGATCGAACCGAGAAAAAGAGGTTTAAAGTTTGGCTCCTCCATAAGACTCAATGTAAAAGATAAACTTCAAATTCAATTTCTGCGAAATCTGCTCCAACAAAAACTTTGAATTTTTGGTGTTAGATAGTAGAGCAGTGGTTGAGTTCAAAACCACTTATAACTCAATTTTTTCCAAAATGTGGGTTGGTTCCTTTCTGCTTAACTCAGTCCAATTATTGAAAAAAAACTTACAACATTAGCTTCCTCTTGAAGATGCTTTTGAGTTTTAATAACTTTGACAGCACCTCCTTTTTTCTTCCTACTGACATCTAATTGAATTTTAGGTGGTTTGAGATGCTGGAAGAAAACAAAAAATTGCGATGATAGAAATGATCCGCTGACAGCAACTTACAAAAGATGTTTGCGGTGAAAACGAGACCGAACAAAGAGTTGGTTGGAACTTTAAGAGGTTGAAAATATTGATTGTTAAACTCTCGATGACTGAGTCACACTTCTTCTTGTTTCTCTTACTAAAGTTGGTACTTGATCAATGATACAAATGCGCAAAAACAAGCCTGAGAATTGAGGACTTTGCAAAAATGTTGTCGCACCTCTTTTGACTATCTAGCAAGCTCAACTTCACTAAGTATTCCTGTTTTTTTCATAACTATTTCAAGCAACTCAATACTATTAGAGTTCACATTCGTAACTGTTTCAATGCAGTTTTTTTATGACTAACTGTCACACACCTCTTTATAAATGGCTGGAACAACATTTTTCTGCACTGAACATTATTTGCTGTTTTTGAAATTTTTTCATTGTACATACAGGATGAGTTAGCAGTGAATTTCATTCAGTTGAAAACATGGAACAGTACTTACCGCTAATTTCTTTTTTGCTTCAATTTTTTCTTTAACTGTGGGCACATGTACTTCATAAACAGTATTTGGATCTAAAGTAATTAGCTCTGGTTGAATCTGGAAAAAGTAAAAAATAAAATATACTCATTAGCAACACCTAAAAGAAACTATAAAACTGATTTCCACCCCTGTCAACACTTTCCCATATTTTCTCATACATTTTAGATTTTTCATTTTAACTCTTTAGTCTCACTCAATCCAGTCCATTCTTCAACTTTCAGTTTTATCCTTCAACAATCTTCAGTAATGTCCCATAAAATTAATGACTAGACTTGCAACTGATACCTACATAGATTATAGCCAACCAATCACGCGTAGGCTTGTTGTCTTACCACCGGTGACGTCAACAAGACTATATAAGCGTGGGTTGCCTAAAAATCGAGGTCTTATTTTCCATCTTTTGACCTGTGACTTACGTCCCTCGCTTTACGGTCCTTTTCCCATCTTGTAGATCCTAGACCTGTACTCCTCTACAGTCTTAGTGATTCTCAGTACTCTAATACGTCGTGCCATTCCCTTTAATTTTACGGTGCATTTTGTGTAATTTCTGACATTCTACTTTTTGTGAAATTGTGAACTCTTTGAAAAGTTTTTCAATACAAATCATTTCTAGAACTTTCGTGTTTTTCCTCAACACTTATCCACCATCAGTTTGTTGGTTAAACTATAAAATCAACTGGTGCCGAACATTTATATTTTTTTTTTTATTGAGAACAATCAAATATTGAAACTCTAAGCCATATTCGTTGCATGGTGCCTACTTCATTACATGGTGCCTACTTCGTTACAACCCCCTTTCCCTCCCACAATCCTGGTCAAAAAAAAGAAAAGAAAAACAAACGACTGACTTTGGACTTATGACCATTGCGGAAAAATCCAGAATAAATTAATTGAAATGGAAAAAAAAAAAAAATCTATCCTACATATAATATTCATATTTTCCAAATTTTACATGTTTTTACGATACAGTCACTCCATTAACAGAGAATCATCAATGATAACTGAGCAGTTCAGGAACCTCCTATTTGTTTATCAGCTGAAAAGTGGCAAAGAACAATATATAAAAATGAACGGTACGTAGAAAGAGCATTGCACAGTCAAGTAATAAAACATCATTAGATATTGCTCATTTTAAAATTCAAGTGATTGCTTGAGTTGTTGATGAAGGGTTTAAAAGTATTTTTTACTCTTTTAACTTCTGACACTTTTTCAGAATGATCAGTTTAAATGGCAGAGCCATACAAATAGTAAAGCTTTCGATTTGTCATCTATTTAGTTTGTAAGGTGAAAGAAGATTGTGGCAAATTGTTCACCTTTTCGAGCAAGCTCTTAACTTCTGCTTCCTTCCTTTGCTTCTTGCTTTGGAACGGATTGGCTTCTAAGGCATCAAAGTTGGGTTCTCCACTGCCTGAAAAAAGAAAATGTATGATTCATCACGCTATTACTCACGATAAACAGTTACATGGTTATGAAAAAAAGGGGAAAAAATGGAAAACCTTCCGTATTTTACTTTTGTAATTTGGGTATTAGATTCTTGGGGGCGGGGCTGGGGGGGGGGGGGGGGGATGGTTTTTAGGCCTTAAATGAAGGAAACCCTTAATGAAGGAAAAGAGAAAGAAAGAAAGAGAGAGAAAAAGAAAGTAGAGGTAGAAGTAGTAAAGTACATTTACTTTAAACCGGTGCTTTAGCATCTATGGCCTTTAACACCTATGTGATTAGATTACGAAGGAAAGAGGTTTGTTGTGAAAGAGGAAAAAAATTTGGAAATAGGTAGTAAAGAAACAAGAATGTAAAATTTAGAAGATTTGAAGAAAAATGAAGGAAAAAAAAATTTAGACAGAAAAAAGGGCATCATATAAAGAAAGAAAGTAGGGATAGTAATGTGAGTTTATTTTAAAGCGATGTTTTAGCATCTATGGCCATTAACACCTCTGTAATTAGATTACAAAGGAATAAAAAGAAAGAAAGAAAAAAACAAGAGGGAAGTACCAACATGCTGTGTTGAAAGTGCTTGTTGTTTTGTTTCTGAATTTACATGGTGATATCCCTGGCCCTTCCTTTTGAAGAAAAATGTATACCGACTTTCTAACTTAAAATAAGCTATTGATGCTGAGAATTCTTTTGAAGCTCATAACTGGTAAAACTATCAATCTACAGATTTTGATAGAAGAGATCGAAAATTTTCAGAAAATATTGTTAAAAAAAAAGACTCCCCCCCCCCCCCCCCAAAAAAACCAACAAATTTTGAGCAAGAGTGATAATCATGTCTTCTTTGGAAGAATGTGAAAGGAGATTTGCAACTTTGCATATCAAGATACATTTTTTGGTGCTTTCACCATAGATATTATTTTTTACAAAGCTTCCTCGCTATTCATGAATTTAAATAATGATAGTTTTATGTGATTTTTATCATCTGAGCGATTTTTTACTCATCAGACATCTTTCTTGAAAATCAATTAAATACCAAATGCACATCTGGCTGAAAAAAGAAGTTGGTAACACCACTGATGGAAGTTTTTTCTCTTTTTTTTTCTTGTGATACAAGTCAAATGCCTTGTGTTGCTCCATTATGATCCATTGCCTCAGAGAATAGAAAGAGAGTAAAATTCAAGCACTTTCCGGCCAATTCTTGAAAGATTGAGCGATCTCAAAGCCTTGAAAAAAATTTAAAAATTAAATAGTTTTCATGGTTGCACACCATGAATCGGACTGCATTTTGCAATTTGGACCTATAAATTCCGGCCCGGTTTAAAAACAACGTATGTGCCATTAGTTTCCCTATGCAAACAAGTGTTTTTTCAGATGAGCCAGAATGTATAGCTCCAAATTGCAAAATGCAGTCCAATCGTACTTGAATGAAAGATACATCTGACATGCGACAAAAAATCGTTTCTTGGCACTGGCGTCAGCTTCAGGATAGTCACAATTCTTTCCATGCACTTCAAGTAGATCCTTAGTTGGGATTTTTTTTTATAAATTAATTATAAACAATAAAATAACAATGAAGTGTGCTCAACTACACCAACTTCTCCTTTATACATACCTGGGATTAATAAACTTGAAAAGCCGCGTCCATGTCCAACACCGAGGACATCTTCAAAAGGACAAAAATTTATGTTGGAAATTGGAGAGGTAAAGGAGTGCCGTAAATAGGGATGTTTAACTTCTTTTGTGCAAGGATCTAGATAAACCTGCGAAACAATATAAAATACATTGGTGCAGGGACACAGTGAGCACGATACATTTTTAAGAAAACAAATCAACAATATTAAAGGATTGAAACAACTTTTGTACGGCTAGCTCATAAATATAGTTTCTTGCTTAAAGATAAAATTGTAATCTGCAACAGCAGCCTGTTCGTCAAATTATGTCTGTACGAAAAGACTGGACAAAGCCAAATCTTAACCATACAATACATTGCATTTTGATGTCTCATCTTGTTGCTTTGAATTTTCATTACTCAGCCGGTAGGTCGGTGTGAACTAAAAAAAGGTGTTACAAGTTATCAATTTAAAACTAGATAATTAAATGATAATTAGGATAAGAGACATTAAACGCAGATCAGTTTAGGTACGAGAACTAGAATTTCAACTTTCTTCTTTTTACATAAGTCTGTCTCAATGAAAAGAGACCTCAGTCGAGTTGAGCCAAATTTTTTGACACAAGAAGATTTGAAAATGAGAACTTTCTGTCAAGATTAAAATAAATTTTTATCTCTTTTCGATTGAATCAATCCTAAAAAATGTCACAACTCATAAAATCTCAATTTGCATAAATTTGTTTCTTGAGGCTGCCGCTACACATATTGCATGAATTAAGATGTAAAGAGAGTGTGCCAGCATTGATCAGATGAAAAAAATCAACATCTTTTTGAGGGATCAAATTGCTTTCTTACAAATCAATCTGGAACTGTTCTCAAATTTACAATAATTAGGTATTTCGAAACATTGCTTTAAGCCTACAGATTGAGCTAAAAAAACTTCCGGCTGTTTTGAATAATTTTTAGCTATTTTAAGCATTTTTCCCCTTGTGAATAATTTGAATGGAAAATTTCATTGAGTGACTGATGATTTTGGAAGGGTGACGATAAGTATAAGTTTTTGATACAATGAAATTTCCCTCTTTTTTCTGGAAATTTTGTCTAGGTTTCTTTGACTGACAAAGGGTCATCACGAAAACCAACATTACCTCAGCAATGTTTCCTAGGGAGGCAGCTAAGAGTCCTTTTTGGCTAAATGCTAGGTTAGTTATTGAAGACCTTAGGAAGTATGACTGAAGAGGGCCATCCAACATGCGAATATCCCATATTTTTAAATGACGATTAGTGTCGCTTGTTGCCATGTAAAGTCCCTTGGTATCGACAGCTACTGCTGAGACCGGCTGTTCGTGCACTAGCATTTTGGCCACAGGAGTGCGCACGTTGGGGCTCCACATGGTTACCACTCCTGAGAAAAACAATGCAAATTAATTATAACTGAAAGATAGAAAGATCATTAAGCTACAAATTTGCATTTCATTTTCAAGTTTAGTAAATTTAGTATGTATACTTGTGACCATCCACAAGAAAAAGATCCCTTGTAATGAAAAACTGAGCTATTGGGACTACCAGTTAGAGGAGTGTTTAAGAAATACATACGCTCACAAGCTCATAAAGGTCAAACAAAATCGGAGTTGCAACAGTTGGAAATTTGCCGTTCAAAACTTAGGTTTGAGGAAAGTTATTTGAAGTTATAATCCACCATGTTTGGAGTTCAGAATTTTTGAACTAAAAACGCAACTTTATATCAATGCTTTAGTGGCACAAAAATTGACTGCACCACTTATAACGTATTCATTGACAAATCAACAATGAGTCCTGTTTTATTTGGCACAATGATCGTACAAATATTTTGTGACAAAGCAGAACATTCCCATTTTGTTTGACTGTTACCGAATATTCAGGGGCGGACCATACTAAATTGAATTTTTTTTTGCTCAGCATTGCAATCATGTTGTAATATATTAGTGTGCAAAAATCGGTAACAATCAGAAGAAGCTTCGAGCAGGTTCCAGAAACTGTTCCGTAGTCCAATATGAACCACCTGCTAATCAAGTTTGCATAATTTTGAACAAATTATAAAGCCACGGTTGGACTGGAAAGTTGAGAAATATCAAATAATCATTTTGAGTGGGGATCAAAAATTGTGATTTTGCTTTTATTAAAATTATTTCCAAAACATTTGATCGAAGTAGTTTAAAAAATCTCTTAATTGTGATGTCTTATGTTATTCAGGGTAACATTTTCCTAATTCTTGTCCCTCAGAAAAAAATAAAGACAGCTATATGCTGTGGTTCACTCAGACATGTGATGACTCTCCAACCATGTTTTTTCAATAATTTATCCTGAGAAACTGATAAAGTCATTCCATTCCGCAGTTGATGAAAAGAAATGTAATTGTACGACATGGATGGTAGACTGTACGATGTGTTAATGATGATAAATGAGTTAAGTACCTCGTGCATGCCCGCAGCATAAAATAGCATTGTACGGATTCTGGGTCATTATGTTCAATCGCCCGTACTTCGTATTGAATTGAGCAACCATTTTTCCGACAGAAACATCCAACCATGATAGATAGCCAATTTCACTCTGTAAAAAAGATTGACAATTAGTGAATATGAGAACCTTTCGGACCAAACACCAAATACAGGTATGTGCTATTTGCTTCTGCAAAAAAAGAAGAAGAAAAAAAAAACGATTTCCCACACTCAGAAAATAGAATCATTTCAGTTTCATAGGAATATTTCATAGAAATTAGAAGTGATAATTTCTTGCTGAGCTTGAATCTTGACTTTTTAAGCATTATCGAGAAAACAGCACAGACTGTAGACTGTGTTTGCTCCAAAATGTGGTTGACAATGCATCATATTTTAAATGATGCACAGTTTAGCTTTGCTTCATTTTTCATGATTATGGTGATTTTCTCATGTAAAACCTCCATAAATGAACTGAAAACCCATGACAAACCCATTATTTCCCATGTAATGTTTAATTATCACTGAACACAAAATTGGAGCATGCAGAGACATTACTACAGGGAATGGTTACTTATGTCGCAATAAACTTTTGATCAGCATGATATGCTGGACCATTTGCAAAAGTCACAGCCCATTATACAAGGAGCCATTCTTCATGGGTTTGCGTCATGCGTTTTGTCCTTTGAACAAGTGACATAATATTTCTAATTTAATTTTATAAATACTTAAAACGACTTACTCCACTGCATAGCAGAAAGTGATACGGCAAAAATTCTAATTTCAGCACTTTGTTCAGTACTTTCAAAGCATGTAATTCTATCCCAGTTTGATCATAAATGTACACCCATTTGGACTGAGCAGCAGCAAACATGGTTTCTTGATGAAGGTAACTGAAAAAAATTAAAAGAAAAAACAACAATCAATTAACTTGCCGATTTAGCAGGGTAAAATGGACACTTATTTGGACTTAATGAACGTCTTACTGCCATAGCAGTCTTTTTATGACTGGTTTTATTTATATAAGTGGACTTTTTCTGCAATTAATCACTCTGAATAGGTCAGTTGAATGTACGAGATACAGACAAGTGGATAGACATGCTTTAGGTAAAATCACAAAATAATCAAAATGCACTTTACTTCAAAATTTGGGTGGTTGGTAAGCTAATTCTTCCAAGAGCTTGGACTCATAATGAAAAATAAAACTTCTCCTCCATAAAAATGGAAAATTAAAAATTTCTAAGATTTGGACGGTTAATCTAATTGCACCACTTCAATGAAATGGCAAAAAAAAAAAAAAAAAAAAGGTTGGTTCCTTTGAGAGAAATGACAGCCATAAAATTGATAGAGCCAATGGCTAGTTTTATCTTCGTTTTATCAAAGCTCCCCATTAACCCCATCAGCTTCTTGTGGTGTAGTGGTTAGAGTTCTGGCTTTATGATCAGGAGGTCCCATGTATGGTTCCCAATTAGAGGGCCCCAATTCAATCTCATGAGCTGTTGTTTGGGGCTGATAGTTGAGAAGGGACTGAAGAGGGATGGGACTATCAGTTCAGGATCACCCCTAGGGGCATCTAAAGTTTAAAAAAAAGCCAACAATTTCCTTTGGTTCAGATGTCTTATATATTTAGTAGTGATTTCAAGTCTTGATGGGATCAATAAAATAAGAATACCTGATATCGAAAATCTCTTCCATCACATTCATCTCGAAATGTAGTTTTTTTTTGGTCCAATCCATTCCGGATGCATGGCCTTTACGACCAGCCAAAAGAAGATGTCTTCCATTTCTTGAATATTCACAGCGATAGGGACCAAACTGAAGGTCTAGATCAAATCTTTTGGTCGCACTTGTTATATCTACACTATTTACGATGGCTTCTTGAGAGATCTGCGCTGAAATCTCATCCTCATCTGGCTCCAGGAAACTATGAAAGAGAGAAAATAAGAGTTGAAGGATATCTTTGTAAAATGGTAATTACGATTGTTATGACATTGTAAATTAAGTTATAGAACAATTATGTTGGACATCTACTGCATGTTATAAGTCCCCCTTCAATTTGTCAATGAGTTACACTTACTTCTGAGGTAGATTCACTCTTGGTTCCATCCCTTTTTGTCATTAGCTTTTCCTTTTCTATTCACTGTTTTTGCGGCAAGATTTTTGCCTCGGATGCTGCTTCATGCTGGTGCAAGAATTTTGCTAAGTGATGGAAGATTAGCATGTACTGAGCAAACTAGCATGTCAGTTGTGCAATCTCTTCTTGTAAGTGTATTGAAAGAACTAAAGTTCCTGATTTTATAAGAATTTTACTTGAGTTTTTTAACCATCAGAAACCTCAGAAAAAATAAAACAGTCATGAGGGATCAACTTCTTACGGAACCCACTTGTTCTAAAGGTCACTTTCCCACGATAACAGGTCCGGCACACTCACTAAGTTACAATCCATTGTCAACATGGTCTTTTCATCACTCACAATGTGGTTCTCCATGGAAATTTGGCAGTCGCTTTCCGGATGCAGATGTGGAGGTAATAAGAATTTAATGGCAAAAATGGATTTCATACTTAGAATTCTCTTGTTTTAAGGTGTTAGAGGCAAGTATTTGGAGGTCATGAGTTGATGAAGTAACTACCGTTTTTAGGGAGGACTACCAGCAATAGCGGTTTTTCCTATAAGAGTCACTCTATCGGTTGATGATTCCCGAATACTTTCCTCTGGTTTTTCAATATGCGAGGATTCCAATTCAGATATTCCTTGTTGTCAACGAATTATCTACTGCCTTGATATTTGCACCTGAAAATCGACTGATGATTCCTCAATAAGAAACACATTGTGAGCGATGAAGATTATGGGATACCTATGCACCATGACGTATCATGTGCGCCCGACTCGTTTCCACCCCAAAGTGACCGTTTAAGATGAACAGGGGTTCGATAAAAGCTTTCTTGAAGCTTTTTAGGCCATTGCATGCTTATAAATTGGTGCTATCGTTTTACTCGCGACATTTGCCATTGCATTCATTTGTTGCATTGTAAATTACTCTTCGTTTGTGATAAGCAAGTTCCCTATTCCATTTACTTCCAAAAAGATTCATTATTGTTCCTTTATCCACTTCCCACCAAGGAGGAGGTTATCAAAGCAGAGTTACTCAATGTTATTGAATCTATTCTGCCAAACGGAACTATGTGCATTATGACGTGAGCCGTGTTATGCATATTCTTATGGGTCTCAGGGCTCATGTCTGAATGCACATAGTTCTGTTTGGCAGAAATACGTTCTACTAAGGGTGCTTAAAATTAAGGTTTGATTAAAAAGTATGTTAGATCTATTACTTACCCAGCATCCTCCGTTAGCAGGACTGAAGCTTTCTCAGTAAAGTTTTCGGACCACTGTACTTTCTCATTCCATTTCTGGAACCTTTTTTTGTACACACCTGTTTTGACGTTAGCAACATTTACCAAGTTTTGTGATTCTTTCTCTGAAAATTAAATTGTAATAATATTAAAAACAAGACTTTCCCTCCGATGAAGATAGTTGATACATTCGAGGGTAAATGCATTGTTTTTAGAGAAATGCACCAGTCACACAAGTGACTTTAATTTGTTAAGATCCTAATGCTTACATGAAACTGCAAGAGTCCCTGTCTTTCCTTGAATAAATTGAAGCGCTACGTACAGATAGGGTATTTCTTAGTTGCAGTGTCTCAAAATCTCCGCTTATTTTCCATTCATTGTAATTAAAGCAAATTAATGTACTTTATTGTAGCTTTCATAGTCTTTATGATTTTAAAGTGATGAAAACGTAAAAATTCAAAAAATTCACCCAATATTTTCCTCTCTAAAATAAAAATTAGCACTGGAGATTATGCAATACAGCGATCAAGAAATGCCCTTCCTGCACCCAATGCCTCAATCACGTGTCCAGTAAATTTGGTGACCCAGAAATACATGAAAAAATTGTTTCACATAAAGTAGATATTCTTCGAAAATATTAGCATCCATTCTTAATTCTGATGCAATTGTAAATGGCAGTTAAAGTAAAGTTATTCTGTACAGAATCCGTTTTCCTTACAAGTCATTGTGGAAACCATGGACTATCTACAGAAATCCTCAGACAGCCACACAAATAAGCACGTTCATCAATATCTGCTGAGGTTGGTGAATCTCCGTGAATGTCTATGGATTCTGTAGGGAACACTTTCAGCAAAGAAGTACTCGAGGAAGGTACGCTCAGGTCTATCTTCTTCAAATTTTTTGTCGCAACAATCGGTGCTGGAGGAGGACCCAATTCATGACAATGGACAGAGAGTGAATGGGTAAATCCAGCCTTCAATGGATAATCGTAATTGCTGCAAAGCAGATACTTAGCGCGCTTGACCGTTGCGACAGTGCTCATGCTTTTTGTCTTCCACCAAAGAGAAGAAGTGCCCGGTGGAATTGGATAGAGCTTAGAATAATTGTAAGAATAGCATTATCAAACTTACGGGTTTTTTGGGCATCCTCTCGACTCCGAGACAGCGATCTTTTGAATTTCTTCATATTAATTCATTGAACAAATACGCACGTGACACTGATCAGTGATCGGACTACGGATCACAACAGAAACATAACCTCAAACCTTGTCGCGTTAGTAACGCTCTCTGTTGGAGTCGTAACGAAGCTACTCTTGTTTGTGTTTGATTTGTTTACTAATTTGTTATCTCAAACGGTCACCACCCTTTTGATTGCTTCACACAATCTTTTCTTAATTTTAATGTAAGTTTCATCCGTCGATTGTTATCTTTTTTCCTTACTGATCTCTTAATGTAGGAAACTTTAAAATTGCGGTCAACTACTTTTTTACGACTCATTCATGAACCATAACAGTAACCTCTGTTGAACAGCGTCAGTTAGCTTGGCTGCTTTTCCTAAATTTTGAGTGAGTATTTGCCTTAATATTCTTAATTAATCCCTCTTGGTTTAAAGACTAGGTGAGAAGCAATANAAAAATTTTTTTTTTTTTTTTTTTTTTTTTTACCACTTTAAGTAGCCCACAAGGGCTAATCCCGCGCTTTTAGTCCCGGCCCCCCTCCGTCCCTACCGAACAACCAGCCCCAGGCAACCATTGTTTGAGACCATCAAACTCGGGTCGCCTGGCCGGGAATCGAACCCGGGACCTCCCGATCATAGAGCTAGCGCTACAACCACTACACCACAGGAGGCCGACGAAAAGGGCCTTTTCTAATTGAAAAGGGTTCATTTCCTCTTTTGAATGAAATGAAATTCTAGAATTGACCGTCAAGGTTCTAACACATAAAACCTACATTCCCTTTTACGATGATAGTTTCACAATTTGCTTGCTTGCACTTCCTGCAATGTTCAGGTCACCAAGCATCATCAATGTCATTTGAGGTGATCTTGCCTGATTGAGAGACAAAGTCTGTCTATAGGTAGTCCTGCTGAGTATAAGGCCGAGTCCTTGAAAAAAGACGATTATCCGATGTAGCTTTCAAGCTACATTATTTGGAAAACCTAAACCATCATGTGTAGCACCACAAACCCTAGTACTATTTAATCAAATTTACAGCTATTTTATCCTGAAAACTACACCAAAAATTTTTCCTTTCAGACATTCTAGTTACTAGACAGACATGCACAGGAGCATTTTGTTGTAACCTCTTGCATTTTATTTTACCATGAAGTGTGTCCATCCGCAATGTACATTGATAACAAATTAGGCACCATGTTAAATTTGATTGCCATCATTTTTAATTACATTGGCAGATCGAGCTAGTTGGCAACATTGCTCTCTCTCTTATAGACGTAAATACATTTTTGGAGGGATCTGGTGCTCTGTAAAAATCAAACACAGGGTCGCAGAAAGTGCTCGATATGCTGATCCCCAAGCATATGTGAAAGCACCTGAAAAAGGGTAAATAAATGTGAAGACACCTGGAAAAATAGAAAAAAATGTGGAGGTAGTAAGCTTAAACCAGCTAAGCGCATAACTTTTTGCATAAAAAACTTGGTACCGCGCTCTCTCATGAGAAGGAAATAGTTGAGCATGCTCTCTTATGCAAAGGAAACAGTGGAGCACGCAAGTCTTATGTGGACAGCAATGTAAAGGCAACCTCAAAAAATGTGAAGGCAAAGAACTTTCTGCACCCCTGATGGATCATTCAACATAGATTGAAATGGAGAAAAGCCAATGTTATGGACTTGCCAGATCCGCCCCTGCAATTCTAAGAGGCTTCTAACCTGGGAAAGATCATCAACAGAATTTTGATGCATGGGGTTTTGGCCTTATTCTCATGTCGGTCAATATGACTGAATTCTCACAGGCCAACTCTATAGTTATATTATTTGATACCTAAGTAATATACTAGGTAATTCCACTGAAAACAAATGCTTCACTCTGACTTTGTCCATGTTGCTCCACTTTCCAAGATTGACAAAATTCAATGTCAAGATATCAAATTAAGCAGCCACTAAATCAGTCTATTCCTCAAATCAGAATTCAAAGTTTAGCATTTTCTCCTGTGAGGTATTTATTTTGATTAATCTCTCTTTTTATGTTACAGCTCGAAGGTCCTATGTACAACGAAGACAATACGCAGGTGGTGATCACTTAACGGATGATTAGTTTATTGTTTACCTAAAGCTCTTTAAATATCACCCCAACTGTAATCAAGAATTGCCAAACATCTTTGATCAGCAATCATCTTCTAAGACTGTTGGAGCCTAGGAGCCTGGAGACTAGTCGGAAGGACAACTGCTTCTCCACCTGTAGCTCATATTTTTTGCTGTCATCATCCTAGAAAACACTCTCCTCGTTGCACAACGAATAGCTACCATTTCATTTTGTTTTATTCATTTTGATTTTTGTCTCTATGCTATACTTCAATCATCATCACCTAATGTGCTATGAATTCATATTACCAGATGTAGCTTTAAACTTTTTTGACCTCAGTAATTTTTTACTTCATTCCAAAAGTCATTTTAGCTGCTGATTCTGCACATGAATTAAATTTTACAATCACCTATCCTCTTTTAAACTAAAATCAAAAAATGGGAAACTCAGCTGTAAAAAAACACGTTGATACTGCCAGTAAAACTGGCGTGTTAAATTTATCTAAGAGCAGACTGAATGAATTTCCAAGTAATTTAAAAGCAATCCAGCACACTTTAAGAAACATTGATTTGTCTCAAAACCAAATCTCTTCCATCCCCAACTATATTGAGAACTTCTCGGCACTTAAATGCTTAACATTAAATAACAATAAAATTGATAGAATTCCAGATGAAATTGGAAATTTAAAGAAATTGGAAGTTCTGTCATTAGAGTCCAATCGAATAAAAAACATACCAACAACCATTTCTGCACTAGAAAATTTGAAATGTGTCAGGCTCAGTGAAAATATGTTATCCTATTTCCCTCTTATTTTTTGTGGAATGAAACACTTGGACTTCTTGGACCTTTCAAAGAATATGATAACAGAAATCCCTGATGGGGTCAGTTCTTTACATGTTTCCGAACTTAATTTAAACCAAAATCAAATTTCCATTTTGTCCAATGAACTTTCCCAGTGCCCTCGTCTTAAAATTTTACGTTTAGAGGAGAATTGTCTAAGTTTGTCATCAATAACTCCTTCTTTACTGAGAGACTCCCAAATTACAAATTTAAGTGTACAAGGTAATCTATTTGATATGAAGGCTTTCATGGAACTTGAGGGTTATGAGGCATATATGGAAAGATTCACTGCTGTAAAAAAGAAACTGTACTAACAGTTCAATTATACAACATCACAACGAAAAATAAACTCTACCTGCTTAAACATTGCACCTCTATTTTTTATTGAATCACTCAACGCTCTCATTTACTTTTTGATTTTTTTTTTTTTTTTTTTTGTATTGGCGAAAATCATCAAAAGTAACAGTATCCTACTTCATTCTAAAACCAAGCAGACTGCAAATATGTATCAGCTTCATTTTTTAATCTGCTTTAGAATTTTTGATTTGCCCTCAGCCTGTTCTACTAAATTTTGGGTATGATAAGCTAATTTTTATTGTACAAAATTAGTTAAATATCCTCAGTAGCATTTTGCTGTAAAAAATTTGCTATTTGATTGTAAGAAAATTGCAACTATTGGTCAAACCTTTGCAAGATTTAGTAAATAAAATGCAGAAATCTCAAAATATTTCACAGTAAAGTGAAGACTTACAGTTAAAATTTTGCAAAGGTGTGTTTTTAGATTCTTTTGAATTGTTACAGTAGATAACTTGAGATTCATCCCGTTGCACTGTACATCAAATTGCTTTATATTGACAAAATTCAAAAGTACAGATTACTAACATTTGTACAAGATCAATTAAAAAATTTCAGGCTGCAATATTGCATAATGAATTTCATATTTTCCCTTTTATTCCTGAGCAAAGGACTACGTGCAAAATGGGCCATTTGGGGCTCGGGGCGGATACCTTTGAGACTTTCCCTATTAGTTCACCTAACAATGCCCCATCTTTCCCCAACGTTTCAAGCCCCCTAAACATTTTGGGGAGACGCGGCGGGGGGTCAAAGTTAAAAACCGGCAAAATTTTCGCGAATTTTTTACTCGAAAACCGAGAAGTTTTGGAAAACGCGGTTTAAACGAGCGTATTCAGCGTGACGAGAGCTTTCAGAAAATGTATAACATCATAGGGTTTTGTCAACTTCAGCTCGAGTTATCGCCTCCGAAACGCCGGAACGCTCAAAAAAGACCCCTTATTTTTTCACGTTTGGGCCGATTTAAAAAAAAGCCATTTTTTTATTTTGATGAAAAACTGATATGTTGTTCCTGACTCTCTGTAGCCCCTCTGGCTCTTTACCGCATGCTGGGGAAATGTTTTGGTCGCGAGTTATAAGAGCGGAAAGGAGCGAAGGTCGGGAAAATCGGCTATTTTAAACTGCGCGCGGCGACGGATCAGGAGACATGTGGCAACAATGCGAGGTCGGCAGAGTAGTGTGATTCGCCGAACTGAGTGGGAGGGGACGTTTTCCCACCGATCAACGCCGCGCGCGCAGTTTAAAATAGCCGATTTTTCCGACCTTCGCTCCTTTCCGCTCTTATAACTCGCGACCAAAACATTTCCCCAGCATGCGGTAAAGAGCCAGAGAGGCTACAGAGAGTCAGGAACAACATATCAGTTTTTCATCAAAATAAAAAAATGGCTTTTTTTTAAATCGGCCCTAACGTGAAAAAATAAGGGGTCTTTTTTGAGCGTTCCGGCGTTTCGGAGGCGATAACTCGAGCTGAAGTTGACAAAACCCTATGATGTTATACATTTTCTGAAAGCTCTCGTCACGCTGAATACGCTCGTTTAAACCGCGTTTTCCAAAACTTCTCGGTTTTCGAGTAAAAAATTCGCGAAAATTTTGCCGGTTTTTAACTTTGACCCCCCGCCGCGTCTCCCCAAAATTTTTGGGGGGCTTGAAACTTTGGGGAAAGATGGGGCATTGTTGGGTGAATGAATAGGGAAAGTCTCAAAGGTATCCACCCCGAGCCCCAAATGGCCCATTTTGCACGTAGTCCTTTTAATAGGAAAAAGCAGTACCTATTTTTATTCTGTTTTTAGCCTTGGTTAACTTTGAGCAACAGTCAATCAATCATAAAATCATAGGGAAAAAAGGAGAATTTTTTTCTCCCATTTTATTTTACTTGCTGTCCTCCAGTAGAAACCTGTAGGCTCTTAATTTTTACCCAGCAGGTATTCTACCTATCATTGTTATTACTAAATGTTTCAACTTTCATTTGAGAGTAGGCACGTAATTGAATGTCTTGCTTTGAAACCTGCACAACTTTAGAGAAAATTAATGTTCTTTGAAATGTACGCATCTTTTTCAATTTTTTTAAAAAAAATTTAGGTCACTCCACATTGAGAAAATATTAGCACAAATTCGTGTCTGTTTCAAGAAGTGCAACACTTCAGGATATTTATAAAACGTCCACATTATGCTATGAATATTTTCATAAGTTGTCACTTTGTTTAGGAACTGAATAGCACATGCCGAAAACATTGTCCACTCTCCAAAAATTTTCAGCTGAATTCGGTCTTTTTCGTTTCCTAATTTTTTTTTCATATCGCAGAGATTTTGCTAGCATTGAAGTAGTAGTCTCTAGAAAACTGTTCTTATTTTGTCCCAAAAACTGGCAGTATTTTTTACAAAAATCTCATATTTAATGTCATACGAACATTCAGACACAGTCAAATTTTCCCCCACAAAACACTAATTTTTCGAGAAAAGTTATCATTAGTTTCTTTCAGAAATAAGATACTTAAGAAGAGTATTTGGGAGGGGGGGGGGATTTCAAGCATCCGGCACCTAATATTTTTTGGCATCTTGAATAACAAACTGAGAGGCTAAGCACTTAAGAAAATCTAGGAAAAAGAAAACTCGAGATTTCAATAAATGTGATTAAGCATGGTGTATGAGGGGGGGGGGGTTGAATTTCTTGCAGTCGTACATTCCGAGTAGTTTATGAGAATATTTGCCAGAAGTGTAAGGAATATCATCACTCATTATCCGCAACGGAAACATTTTCCTATTATTTTCTGCTACAATAATTTGCCTACATGTAGAAAACTGCTATTAGTATAAAGGGCTAAAAGAGAGGAGGGGGTCATCCCCTCTAAGACCTACGGTATGTACCGGGATGCCCCCTCTAGTCCCTTCCAAGTCCAACCCACATCATGACAGGCCCCTGAGACTATCAAAATGCAAGAAACTTTTTCCTTCCTTCGACTGTGTCCTCCGCCGGTCTCACCATCCAAAAATAAAATAATAATAAAAACTTATTTGTAGTTCCATTTATAAGTAGGTAAAGCGAAGCCGCCTTACAGGAGCCGTTGGTGCCAGAAAGTGTTGAAAAATCAGCACTTTTCTCTGAGGAATATCCACAGTTTATAGCACAATCTGGTAACCTGTAGCCGTGTCTTCTCTGATTTTGATTGGTTGATGGTGGAATGTACAGTTCTACGTCACGGACAATATCAATATGGCGGACAGCAGCCGTCTTCTCCATTATCACTGGTTCTATTTATAGAAAATGATGGTCAGGTCAGTCTAGGGGGTATTGTGGATGAACGCTAAATTGTTTCCTCTTGCGGTGCGAAATTACAGTTAATTCGATTTTACGTCCTGTTCGTATCATAGGTGTCCTAGTTGTCGCATTCATTTGTTCCCTGTCATCCTCAGGTAACTATTCACTACGAAATTCTTTCTTTTAACTCCAACTAATGTCTTTCTGCTCCTAAAATGATCGAAAATGTCTCCACTTTATCAGTTCATGAAAGCATTTATGCCCCACCCAACATCAGATCCTAGCAAATGTTCATCCTTTTTCTCCTGCTCTGTTTATCCTCAAGCTAAGAAAGGTTTGTTGAATTGTTTTCAGTGATTGACACCGAACATGGATCAAATAACACCGAAGGAGGTGAAAATCCTCGAAACTGCCGATGATATCCAGGAGAGACGAGAGCAAGTTCTCAGTAGATATGGTGATTTCAAAGCTGAAGCTAGACGCAAAAGGGCTAAGCTAGAAGATTCGAGGCGCTTCCAGGTTTGTTTATTACTTTATTTAACTTCCCAACTGAAGACATTACACAAGTTGATAAATGCACCTTTGCCACTGCCCAGCGGACCTTTGTGGAAAGGAGGTTAAGTGAACTATGCTATCATTACATACATCTTTAAAGTATCAACTAAGTATTCACACTTAGTGGATCAGTCGCTATTTTTTGAGATCAGTGTTGATTTATGATATGGAGGGCTGTGAGAGGTCACACACACCTTGGCCCTTACAGTTGTTATCATAGATGGATCGCAAAGTTTTCACGAGGAGTAATTTGTTTATGACATCTATCCAGCTTAAACTTTCCATGTAATTTTTAAATCTTTCTTTGTCTTTCAAGAGCCATCTAAATAATTTAATTCCAACACCTATTTTTATTCATTCCATCAAATTATAGCCACTATCCACCATATTGTTCCGTATGATGTCAGTGTCATCGTATAGATTATTGCGAGGTCAACTTAGCTGGCTTAAAGATACATCTTTTTTTCTTCCATGAGTTTTGTGTAAAATCAAGGCACCAATCACATTTCTGCAAAACTGCAGTTCAAATTCTGTATTTTTCACAGAATCACAACAACTTGTTCATAAAGACCAGTGGAACTACCAGATGATGCATCTCGTTCCTAGTGTTTAAAAATCTCTGCTCCCATTGTATTTTTTTGAAGGAGGACAAATCAATAACATTCCTTAAAGTTGTCACAGAGTTTTCATCGCGCAGAGAGGAAAAATCACGAAAGTGCTCAAGAATTGACGTTGAGTAGTTTTCCATTTAAAAAATAAAGTGTGACAAGAAGCTTATAACATCGCAAACGGAGATATGTGGTCTGGTAGTTTCACCATCGATGTTGGTCATCAAATAAGGGAAGCTGCTTTGAAAATGGGAAGGTTAAGAACTCTTTGCATCCATCAACGAATTTGCATTATCCCGGGCATATTTGGAGTACTGACATCCTGACGAACCAATTTGCCAGAAATCATATTTTCTCACTTCCTTCATCTTTTGTTGACATGAAACAACGACTGTTTTTCTAGGTTTGTTTTCCTGTGAAAGTCTTTACCCCCGTGTCGTTATTTTTGAGTATCATGTGTGTTTTTGCTTCATTAATTTTCGGAGTCTGTTTTCAGTACTTCAAACGAGATGCAGACGAGCTGGAATCGTGGATCTATGAAAAACTACAAGCTGCCTCTGATGAAAGTTACAAAGACCCAACAAATCTTCAGGTAAAGCCTGATTTAATTTTATAGAACCCTAAGGATGAAAAAGTAGGTAGGTTTTTTAAATCATTCATGCTTCATCCCTCATCATTACCAAGACTTTTTGTTCTAAACCTTGGCGACCATAGCCAAAATGAAAATCAATGTGGACATTATAATCGAGCAACCTGTACATCACTTGATGACCTCTAACGAGAATTTTGTGTTAACTTGCAGGATATACTGTGATTATAAGTTGTTTTAACAGCAGCCTTATCTTTCAGTATTTTTTAAGCAAAGAATTATGCTTTTAAGCTTTCACCAAGTGAAAACGTAAAACAGGAAATGATCCTCTACCGTTTTTCTCTGCAAATTTTTAGCTGGGGAACACCAATTTGTCTGCTCATTAACCGTCTCTGTAAATGAAAAGTAGGAAAGAATATTCCTTGGTGGTGGAAATGGTTTGCTCATATGAAGGTTGGTGACATTACTTTTGGGACACATATTGTAGACAATATATGGATTCTTTTGGAAATAATGAAGAAACTTGCCTGTGACAGGCAACTAATGGTAACATGAAGTTTTCAGGATTTGTATACTGTTTAATCTGATTTTTTGCAACTAATGGTAACTTGAAGTTTTCAGGATTTGTATAGTGTTTAATCTGATTTTTTTAACATTTATGTCTGTTTAGGCTAAAATTCAAAAGCATCAAGCCTTTGAAGCTGAAGTGTCTGCTCACAGCAATGCGATCGTAACACTTGACAACACAGGGACAGAAATGATTAATGAGAATCACTTTGAGTCCGAAACCATTCGTAAGAAGCTAGGTGTGTATAATAAGTTTCTTGAACTGATATTAAACTATCAAGGAAAACTTTGAATCCTTGTAATGACCCTAAGTATGTACTTACTTATGCATTAGTGAAGTTTCCTGTGTTTAAAATATGATGAAATATGTAGAAATGGCCACATCCTCTCCATGGTCATTCATGAAGATCATTGAAATTATTTTGAGTCATTGATCCCTCTCTTTTGTTGACAACAGCAATAAAGGACTACGTGCAAAACGAGCCATTTGGGGCTCGAGGCGGATACTTTTGAGACTTGCCCGATTCATTCACCTAACAATGCCTCACCTTTTCCCAAAGTTTCAAGCCCCCCAAAAATTTTGGGGAGACGCGGCGGAGGGTTAAAGTTAAAAACCAGCAAAATTTTCGCGAATTTATTACTCGAAAACCAAGAAGTTTTGGAAAATGCGGTTTAAACAAGCGTATGTAGCGTGACGAGAGCTTTCAGAAAATGTATAACATCATAGGGTTTTGTCAACTTCAGCTCGAATTATCGCCTCCGAAGCGCCGGAACGCTCAAAAAAGACCCCTTATTTTTTCACGTTTGGGCCGATTTAAAAAAAAGCCATTTTTTTATTTTCATGAAAAACTGATATATTGTTCCTGACTCTCTGTAGCCCCTCTAGCTCTTTACCGCATGCTGGGGAAATGTTTTGGTCGCGAGTTATGAGAGCGGAAAGGAGCGAAGGTCGGGAAAATCGGCTATTTTAAACTGCGCGCACGGCGTTGATCGGAGGGAAAACGTCCCCTCCCACTCAGTTCGGCGAATCACACTCCTCTGCCGACCTCGCATTGTTGCCACATGTCTCCTAATCCGTCACCGCGCGCAGTTTAAAATAGCCGATTTTCCCGACCTTCGCTCCTTTCCGCTCTCATAACTCGTGACCAAAACATTTCCCCAGCATGCGGTAAAGAGCTAGAGGGGCTACAGAGAGTCAGGAACAATATATCAGTTTTTCACGAAAATAAAAAAATGGCTTTTTTTTAAATCGGCCCAAATGTGAAAAAATAAGGGGTCTTATTTGAGCGTTCCGGCGCTTCGGAGGTGATAATTCGAGCTGAAGTTGACAAAACCCTATGATGTTATACATTTTCTGAAAGCTCTCGTCATGCTGAATACGCTCGTTTAAACCGCATTTCCCCAAACTTCTTGGTTTTCGAGTAATAAATTTGCGAAAATTTTGCTGGTTTTTAACTTTGACCCCCCGCCGCGTCTCCCCAAAATTTTTGGGGGGCTTGAAACTTTGGGAAAAGATGGGGCATTGTTAGGTTAATGAATAGGGCAAGTCTCAAAGGTATCCGCCCCGAGCCCCAAATGGCCCGTTTTGCACGTAGTCCTTTACCTCCTCTCTCTAACTGGATAAGGTTTCTCTAATTTTAATCACAGACAAGTGTCAAAAACCTGATGTAAAATATGTATTCAAATTTTGTCCAGGTGTTATCCAATGTCGAAGTTTGAATCACTTGCAAGAACATGTCTTCAAACTTAGTCATTTGTAAAAATAGTTTCTTTACTTCCAGCTCCTTTTTCTTCTCTACCTCTCCTTTATTTTTAAGGTGATTCGTCAAGCTCAAGTGAAGTGGTCGAACCTGCAAGCGATATATTGCATCGATTAGGTCAAAAATCTCAGCATATTTTGAATTTTTAGCAACAAAAGAATGATAGCCACTGCGCCTGAGCCTTAAGAATCATTATAAACCAAAAAATTAGCAAAATTTAGAGAAATGAAAGCAGAATAGTGTTTGGAAAAAAACCTCGCATCCGATTCACCTATCGAATTCTGTATTGAATGTGAGGTTTTTTTCCATTCACTATTCTGCTTTCATTTCCCTGAATTTTGCCAATTTTTGGGTTTAGAATGACCCTCTAGGCTCATGCATAGGGGCTATCGACCTTTTTTTTTTGCTAAAAATTCAAAATCTGGTGAGATTTTTGACCTAATCGATGCGATATATGGCATGCCAGTTTGACCACGTCACTCAAGCTTGACGAATCACCTTATGCCTCAGTAAAAGACCCAAAAAGTAGCCCTTCCTACTTTTCTGAGTGTCAAAAATACTAGGAAATTGCAGATGGTGTTTCTTTATTTCTTACAATAATTGATCATGAGCACTATGTATGAATTTAATGTACTGCTCAAGAGAGCAGTAAATCCAGAAAAGTTTTTAAAAAATTAATCAAACAATGCTAGAGTAGAATGTTTTATTCATAGGGTCTCCAGTCCTCGTAAATTGTCTATAATCATCCAAAGACTCAGAAATTGTTTGGGTGATCACGAATCTATTATTTAACGTTTTAAGTGAGTTTTGCATGGGACAAAAATAAAACCATATAACATTGAAAGGAAAAATAGAACATTTTTTAACGATCTGTAGAACTCTGGATTCATCTCTGAGTTTAATTTTTTACTCAATGCACTCCATCATTTTACAGATGAACTGCACCGTCTTTGGGAACTTTTGTTGTCAAAGTTAGCGGAGAAAGGAATGAAATTACAACAAGCTTTAGTGCTGGTCCAGTTCTTACGACAGTGCGATGAGGTTATGTTCTGGATCAATGACAAGGTATTAAAACTTTTTTATCTTGGAAAAAAATTCAGTGTAAACTCTGTTTGCTAAGTGTGTTGTTTTACTGGATTTTTTCCCGACCCCTGCGGTTTACATGACAATGTCACATTCCCCACGATTTACTGAACAGGCATTGCAAGAATTTTGAATTTTCTTTTTGAAATTTTTTTTGGTCCTGTGGCGAAATTTTAGCACTATGCTGAGTTTTTCCAAAATTTGCTCAGTTTTTAAGCTCAAACTATTTCGTTTTAAATCATTGCTTAACTGCCTTGTCTCCCTGTAAAATACTCTGTTAAGAAAACCTGTGTAAAAATCCTAGAGGTTTCGCTTAATGTCAACATTTGTTTTGACATTGGATGCCATTGCACACAAGTTATCAGTATTTTCCCAAGGAATTAAGGGCTTTCTCTGTAAATGCAAGCAGACTATCTTTACTTTGTCGGGTGAAATTTTTCAGTTATTTGGTCTTTCGCATTTAGTTTGGTGTTCTATTAATCAGTTTTATAATATTTTCAGGAAACTTTTGTGACAACCGATGAATTTGGGCATGACTTGGAACATGTTGAAGTATTGCAACGTAAATTTGATGAATTCCAAAAAGACATGGCTTCGCAGGAGTATCGTGTTACAGAAGTGAATGAACTTGCTGACAAACTTGTGTTGGAAGGTCATCCAGAACGTGACACTATTCTGCGTCGCAAAGAGGCAAGTTAAAAAATTTCTTAGAGCGGTCAAATCACATTAGGATCAGTCTCAAGGTGATAGATTGAACAGATGTTTGAAAATTGATAAATGGTGGAAAATTCATTTGTCGAAAAATGAAAGAATGCAATAGTTTGGAATAAAGTTTGTAATCATTCGTTAAAAAACCATGCTCAGAATTCAATAAATTTTCACATTTACCTATTTCTTAATCTACGCTTTTTCAAAAAATGTAGATTCAGACTTATTCTTGTGTATCACCTTAGATAAATTTAGATTTCTGGTTGACAAAAATTTTCCAGTTTTTCAATAGTTGTTCTCAAAATTTGACAGAAGGAATGTTCCCCACCAGACTCCTTGAAATCCTAAGTGTTCAGATTACCAGGAAAGTTTGTGTGAAAATTGATAGATTCTGTTAGCTGAAAATCTTGAAATCATGCGTGGCTCTCTGATCTCACCGGAAGTATTTCACTCCCTCAAGTCTCAGTTTTTCCTTCAAGTACAATAAAGAAACATAATATTGCATTTAAGTGGTTGAGCTTATTTTGCACCATTCTGTATTCTTCAAAATTATTCTTTCATACTGGTCTAGGTCTTGTTTTTTTTTCATTCAACTCAGATTTGTTCAATTCTTCTTTGTTGTCTCACAGATTCTACTTATTATCTTTTTTAGGAGCTCATCGAGGCTTGGAGTCGTTTAAAACAACTCGCTCTGATGAGACAAGAGAAGCTGTTTGGAGCCCATGAGATCCAGCGATTCAATCGAGATGCCGACGAAACAGTGACTTGGATCACTGAAAAAGATGTTGTCCTCTCATCAGATGATTTCGGTCGTGACCTTGCCACAGTTCAAACCCTTCAACGCAAACATGAAGGAGTAGAAAGGGATTTGGCAGCTCTTGAGGACAAAGTCTCCACTTTAGGACAAGAGGCTGATCGTTTGTGTGGTATCCATGCCGATCACAGCGAGCAGATCCAGGCCAAACGCAGTGAAATTCAATCTTATTGGGAACGTCTTACTGCAAAATCCAAGGCAAGTTTATCTTATTTTCCTTGATACTCTTGTAACTATTCATTCTGCGTAGTTGATCATCTTTAAAATTCTACTGTGTTGAGAAATTTAAGTTTTAGAAACAAACAAACAAAAAAAAAAAATCCGTAGACTTCTGAAGATATGAAATCTAATGCTTCTTACTTAGAAGTGAGAAGGTCTTTGAGCCTAGATTGAGAAAAAGCTTGGTCCATCAGACTGTCTGGAGGAATTATTGATATTACGGTACATTTAGCAATTAGAGGAAAGACGAAAAGTGAGAGAGTAACTAAGCATATCTTGCAAATCTCTATATCCTAGAATCTAAATTTTTTTCGATATCTCTCTATTTGGTTGAATGAGAGCATTTCCAATGTATCTGTATCTTTTTGTTTTGTTTAGTTTTTTTTCTCTTGTCTCCTTTGCTTTTGCTTCTTTCACTTCTAATCTTGCGTTTTATTATTTTAGGAGAGGCGCTCAAAACTTGATGAATCATATTATCTGCACCGATTCCTGGCTGATTATCGAGATTTGACATCATGGATCAATGATATGAAAGCAATTATTGCAGCTGATGAATTGGCCAAAGATGTTGCAGGCGCAGAAGCTTTGTTAGAGCGCCACCAGGAACACAAGGCAAGTTTCCTCTAATTTTTTTTTAATGTCCTTAATTCATGTGTATGACCAACGCTCTAAGCTATCAGAGGAATCATTGAAAAATGAACCTATACATTCAGCTGATGAATAGTTTCACCTCCTGAAGCTTCCCTCATCTTTTATTGCATGGAATTTCAAAACTTGTTAGGAAAAATTCTATACTAAGAAAATTCTTCTATTATAAAGCACACTGCTCAAATTTTTTGATTTGACGCAAGCAGACTTCGGTTTTTCATTGACTAAGGAGTCTTCATTGACAAAAAAGAGACTGCCAATTTATCGCACTTGTTACCTAAGTTGGGAAATTTTTAATGCATGTGAAACTTTAATGAGGAATGATACATTGCCATGCTTAATTTTTTACCCTGTCTTTTGGTTCACGGCAAACATTTTTTCGATATCACAATTTTCTCTTCTTAAGAATTGTTACTGGAATTTATCTTCCTTTAAAGATGCCATTAGAAATTTTCAGCATATAATTTTGATTTTCTTTTCGCCTTTCCAATTTTTAACTTTATCCTTTTTGACATTGATTCCAGGGAGAAATTGATGCGCGTGAAGATAGTTTCCGATCTACAGCTGAATCTGGGCAGCTCTTGCTAGAACGTAACCATTACGCAGCTGAGGATGTGAAGGAGAAACTTGTGTGTTTGGCCTCTGAGAAAACATCATTGATGCAACTGTGGGAGGAACGTCGTGTTCACTACGAGCAATGCTACGACCTGCAATTGTTTTACCGAGATGCCGAACAAGCTGACACTTGGACTGCTAAACAAGAGGTTTGTGTTACTTGTCATTGTAAATTTCAAACAGTTCACAGAATGAGTTGACAAGAACCTCCTGAACAGTGCAGCTGAAGTTTAAGACTAATTTATTATGGAGTTGTGAAAAATGTGTCTTTCGTTAAATGCTGCACTTTCTGCCTACGCCTTCCTTTCAAAATAGTCCTCATTAAATGGCTGACTCCTAGACTAATGTTTTTCAATTTTGTTTTCTTTTAGGCTTTCTTGGCAAACACAGATCTTGGAGACTCCTTGGATAGTGTAGAGGCATTGATGAAGAAGCATGAAGACTTTGAAAAATCATTGGCAGCCCAAGAAGACAAAATCAAGGCTCTAGATGATTTTGCTGACAAATTAATTGACGGAAATCACTACGCTGTTGAAGACGTAGAGCATCGTCGATCAATGGTAAGTAGCCGCCTCCAAAACTCAAAATTGAGTAATTGACACCCTTGTACATGGGTGTCCAGTGGATCCTACAAAGTTGTTACTTAAAAAAATTAAATTTGAGTTAGTTGATACCACAGCATGGAGGAAGAAAATCTGAAAATTTTGGCGCAATTTGACCCTGAAATCTCAAAAATTGATGCACAAGATGTGCGTAGTAGGCTTAGGTGCATAGTTTAAACCTTTGAGCAAGTGGTCTTATTTTTGCAAAATATTACGGTAAATTTTTTCTAAAAAAATAGGTCCCTTTTCATAGATCCAGCCGCACTTAAGCAATTGAGAACTTAAGGCACAGGTCATCCTCAGATTGACCGAAATCCGCCTATTTTAATCTCAAAGAAGGTCAAAAAAAAATTTGGGGGAAGAAAATGAAAGCTGTGCTTGCCCCTAAGAATTATTCTCCTTCACTGAACCATTTTTTGACATTTTTGAAGTTGATTAATGGGCCTGTTGCAAACTTTTGCTAGAGCAAAACTAAGAGTTGTTTCTTATAGATAATGCCTCAAAAATCACGATGAGCGCATCGGCAAACTCTGAAATGCACTCATAACTTCACAAACTGCGTAAGAAATTTGCGGTTTTTTGAGCTTCCCGCTTCAAAAACGATACTACGGCACAGGTGAACATTTTGTAAGAGGAGTCGTTCCATCGTCGGCAATAATCATCATAGCCGACGCCAATCCGCCAAAACACGTTTGATGGGACGAGATAACACCTGAACTGGATTAAACCAGATAACAATCGGTGTGTTAACGTTCATATTTTCCACGCCCGAATTGATTGACCTTGAACTCTCCTTGAATTACGCGCGGAACTGCGTGCAAGCGTCGGCCATGATGAATATCGCCGACGATGGAGCGACTCCTCTAACAAAATGTTCACCTATGCCGTAGTATCGTTTTTGAAGCGGGAAGCTTAAAAAAACGCAAATTTCTTACGCAGATTGTGAAGTTATGAGTGCATTTCAGACTTTGCCGATGCGCTCATCGTGATTTTTGAGGCATTATCTATAAGAAACAACTCTTATTTTTGCTCTAGCAAAAGTTTGCAACAGGCCCATTCCTCAACTGAATGACCCGAGTGTAATGAAAGGCCAACTGTTAGTTATGCCCTTTTCTTCCTTCTTCGTCGTAGCTTTGACTGTCCGTAATATTCGTTCTTACTTTCTTTCAGCTTTTGCAACGGCGGAAGAAACTTCTTGATGATGCTGCCAAGCGACGGGAGATGCTCAGTTACTCTTTCTGTCTTCAGCAGTTTGAAAGAGATTGCGATGAGACAAAAGGGTGGATTAATGAGAAACTTAAGTTTGCTACAGATGACAGTTATTTGGTAAGTTTTGTTTTTTGACGAGACCTTTTTGATGGAAGATCTTTCAGTATAATTTGAAGAGTTTCTGGGTGAAAAGTAAACTCTCTCTTAGTCTATCTCAGAACTCAACTTAAATGGTAAAAGGCAATCTATCTTAACAGTAAGTCCACATAGGGATCTTATCGATGGCTAATGTCGAATAGTGTGCATTTCTGACTGCGGCATTATAAATCTCCGCTCATATTACATTATTTTTAAATGATAATTATGCAACAGTTTTTCTTAAAATTTTTGTTAGTTTATCTCTGTGAGAATAGAATTTGACATTTTAAAACATTGCAATGGTGTTACTCTTGTTTCAACTATAGCTTTCGATATGAAACCTCGAATCTTATCTGTGAATGAGTGGTTGACAGTCATTCACTACTACTTCATGAAATAATAATAGATATTAGTATTTACAAACAGTACTGATCATCACCAGGAAGCCTTTTGAAAAATTTCGAAAGCCCAGATAACTATTACTTAACTATTTGCATCAGTTTAATTTTCTATTAACTTGACATATTTTTAGGACCCCACAAACATAAATGGCAAAGTTCAGAAGCATCAGAATTTCGAACAGGAATTGAATGCCAACAAATCAAGAATGGAAGAAATCACCACAGCCGGCCAGAACTATATCAATGCCAAGCATTATGCATCAGGTATTACAATTATTTTAGTCATTACTTATCATTCATGATTTCTCTCTAACATAACATCGTCATTATTACATAGGAGATATTACACATTTTTTTTTTTTTTTTTTTTTTTTTTTTTTTTTTTTAATTTTGTCAACACTGGGGCCACGATGTGTTCCAACATAGTTTTATGTATTTGTTCCCCCAGAGTTAGAAGAAGATGTGGAAAAAAAAGGCAAGCTTTAGCGAACAATTGAAAAAAATTCCTAACTGAACGACAAGAATGTTAATTGAGATTTCCTCCAGAGATTCATGTCCAGCAGGCTGATTGATAAAATTGGTAGACAAAGCGATAAACAAAAAATAGAAAGAGGATATGGAGGGATCCCTTTGGTGGAAGCGGGTGGTTGAAATGGACGAAAGAGGTAGGTAATAGGCCAATTAACAGCAACCCACGAGATACTCTACACGAGATTCTCCCTTAGTCCATGGGAACCACCCATTTCAACCAATTGGATCACTATACAGTAAGACCTCCATTTATCGGATTTCACGGGACCGGAGGCCAAACCCGTTAAATAGCGGAATCCGCTAAATCGCGATAGTCGGTCCCGCTGAAGGGACAGGAGGATCGGTCCGTTAAATCACGGAATCCGTTAAATCGCGATCTGATAATTCGAGGTCTTACTGTATACTTCTTATGTCTTCTTTGGTGAGAGCTTTGTCTTTCAATTTCAACAATTAGCCTGCAGGGCGAAGAGGATTATTTTTCATTACCTCATTTTAAATCTTGGAGCATAACGTATATTGCCTCAATAGCTAACAATTTGCTCTGTTCGCATCAAAAGATCGCATACAAGCTCGCATGGATGAGATCGTCCAACTTTGGGAAACGCTAGTTGCAGCAACGGACAAAAAAGGCTCGAAACTTCAAGAAGCCTCACAACAACAGCAGTTCAACCGCACTGTGGAGGATATCGAACTGTGGTTGTCTGAAATTGAAGGTCAGCTGTTGAGTGAAGATTATGGCAAAGTAAGTTTTGTTTTTATGTGAGTTTATTCCTGTCTCCTGAATATTCCAACATGCTCACAATCAGCCATTGTAATCTATTTAAGTAGTTCATCGCTGCATAGCAGGAATAGTGCTTTACAAGCGCAATTGCCTCAACTAGTTGTAGCTGGGTACATTATGGCATCAATACTCTTGTAATAATCTAAAACACTGTTCAAGCTGCGACCTATACCCTAAACCACACCATTTTTGAGAAAATGTTGCATGCGTTTAAGTCATCGACTATTTTCCAAGATTCTCGAAATGTAAGTGTACCACCTTTTTTCCTTCAATAATCAAGGTTCAGGAGTAGGAAATTAATTTTTTTGCTCACTGTCTTTTGAGCATTCAGAATTATCATGCTAACCGAATTTCCCTCCGTTAGTACATTTCTGACATAAGATGTTAGACCAAACCTTTTTAACCATTCATTTCTTTTGCATGGATTTTGATGACAACAACTTATATTTTTAGGATTTAACAAGTGTGCAAAATCTACAAAAGAAGCATGCTCTCCTGGAAGCAGATGTTGGTTCTCATCAAGACAGAATTGAGGGGATCCGTATCGCTGCCAATCAGTTCATCGAACGAGGTCATTTCGACGCTGATAACATCCATGCTAAGCAGGTATGATTATTTTTCCTCCATGATGATTTTCCACTACTTTATTACTTATTTTACACGATTTTCCTTATTGCTTTTCTCAAAATGTTGAATTTTTAAGTTTGGATGTATTAATAAAATAAAAACTAATCAATTGAATTCAATTGAGCATAAAGTGGTTACTTATGTTGCCACCAACAATCGCTGTAGAATCAGGCAAAATGTGCCTCATGGTGGGGGAGAAAAATCAGACAATTATAACACGGCTAAGAGGGGCTAGCCTTTCTACCATTTGTCGCTAAAAACACCCAAAAGTTCAAAAATTGATCTGTTGGTAGTGTTGCACATTTTAATTGCGATTTCTTCAGGTCCCTCGATCCTGTTGAAATTGATTTTTTTTTAATTCCACTTGTATGTTTCCTTTTGTAGACTGCCGTCTGCGATAGATATGCAAATCTCCAGAAGCCCATGGCCATTCGTAAGCAAAGGCTTCAAGAATCGTTGCAAGTGCAACAACTTTTCAGAGACGTCGAGGATGAAGAAGCTTGGATCAGAGAGAAAGAGCCTATTGCAGCCTCAACAAACAGAGGTTAGTTTATTCATTACATTCAGGTTTTCTTCTCACCAAGATTTCTATTAATCACTCAGTAATCAAACAGGCAAGCATAACGTTTGACCTTTTATGAGATCGTTTGGTTTTCTTACATTTCTCAAAAGGCAAACCTGATCCCTGGTGACTAAGTAAAAAGTGCCTGCTACGCTTTAAATTTGGAAATTCACCGTACAAACAATGTAAATTATGCACTTTGAAATGTATTTTGAACATCTCTGATGTGCTCCAATAGTTTTTTGTGGGATTTTACTGTATGAAATTAATTAAAAAATTTACTCAGTTGTTTGTATCTCTTGCTAGTAACAGATCCATTTTACAAATTACAGCCGCATTATAAAATCTTCCAGCCTGCCTTTGAAAGTTGCTTGAAATTAACATAATTTTCCAGAATTTTAAGGCATTAACTCTTTCAGTTTTATTCTTATAGTTTTATCAAGTTCTCAAGCAAGTTCTCAAGCTCTTGCCACATTAGAATTTAATATTTGTTCATTTTACCGCAGGTCGAGACCTCATTGGTGTCCAAAATCTGATCAAGAAACATCAAGCTGTTTTGGCTGAAATCCACAATCATGAAAGTAGAATTGACGCTGTGAAACAAGATGCTGAGAAAATGATCGCTGACAATCACTTTGCTGCAGATGAAATCAAGAACAGAATTGCCAATCTCGACCAGCATTGGTCTCAGCTGAAGGATAAAGCATTACAGGTTAAGATATGAAATTAAATATTGAAGTGATGTGTAAATTGAAGCCCACCATGTAAAAATGTCAGTTATTCCCGTCAATATGCATTGCATCTGTCAGTTTTACAAATGACAATGCAAGTCTTGTCTTGGTGGCATGATGTTAAATTCATTTTTTGATGTACATTCATCTCTACACTCTCCTTTTCTACATACCCACAAATTTCATCTCTTAAAATACCTATTTTCCTCGTTTTATGGAAACTTAAAAACATACAAAAGCAGTGTTATTTTATCCTTTATCCAAGCGTATTTGTTTAGATTTTTAAGCAGTATCTTTGAATTTTGAAAATTTCCTCTAAAAACTACTGTTTAATATCTGGGATATTGTTTATTATCAGGGATTTTTTTCAATACCAGAATATAGTAATATGTACACCCCAAGTAGCAGTGATTGCAAAATGTTGCAATTTGATTTGAGAATGTATCGGGGTTTTATCAACAGCGATTTATTGCAATATCATCGAACAAAAAATCTTGATAAATCAAGCTAAAATTTCGATTTTCTCGAATGCACAATGTGTCGTAATATTATGGCAATAAAATTGTGACAAGATCGAGAATAATTGCTTAGATGTTGATGATCCGTGCGATTTTATCGCCAAAAAATCGGAAAAAAAATCACAACTTAATTTCAAATTATCTTGATTTTCCCGTTGTAAAAAGCTGCTTGGGACGTGGAAAAGTTGATTAAATTACCTTAAGTAAAATATGATAGTAAGCAAGGTAGAAATAAAAGTTAAAATGACTTATTGGGTCAAAGGCAAGGCATCTCCTCTTTTATCATTTATACTCCAAACATTTTTTCCGCTTCTTCTCACTTTCAATACTTGTGATGTATTGTTACAGCGCAAACAAGACCTTGAAGATTCTCTCCAAGCTCATCAGTACTTCGCTGATGCAAATGAAGCAGAATCCTGGATCAAAGAGAAAGAGCCAATCGTTTGCAATCAAGATTACGGAAAAGACGAAGACTCTTCTGAAGCTTTATTGAAGAAACATGAGGCTTTAATGTCTGATTTGGAAGCTTTCGGAAACACTATTCTCAGTCTCCGCGAGCAGGCACAAGCTTGCCGTGTAAGTCTATTTCAGTTAGAATTTATCTCGTTCTTTCTATTTTTCTTTATAGGAGTCAGCTGTTAATGCCACAAAGCTCCAAAGGCTGAATAGATTTCTTGCTATTGATGTACAGTTTTACAAGGTGGGGGAGTGTTCAAAATATGCTGAGTATGTTCTAAATGGGTCTTTTTTTTTCTTCTTCTTGCTTGAATCGACATCTGCCCTCAATTTGTTTTATGAGACTAATAGTATCTTTCATTGAAAATTTCAACTGAAAGGATTGATAGTTTTTCTTTTCAAAAGTACAGAATGGGCCTGTTGCATGCAAGAGATACAGCCGTGCGAATAGACTTTTCAAAGGTTAAATGACACGAAAATTACGATGGTCACATTAAAAAAGTCTGAAATACACTCCTTACTGCGCAATTTGCGTTGTTAGGAACGCGCTTTTTCAAATTTCCCGCGTCTGGGGGCAGTTTTCTAACGGAAGCAATTAACGGCAACTCGCGGCTATTTCCAGTCAACTAAAACTGACAACATAACCTAAAAATCGGAGCTCGTGATATCGTGAAATGAAATGTAGGAGGATTGCGTTGGATATTTAAAAGTTGATCGATTTGGATAGCGCATAAAGCGTATCTGGACCACTATAAGAGATCACGTTGGGTTTGTAAACAAACTGAAGGAAAAAATAACAACAACAACAACGACTCGGCATTTTCCGGAAATCACCGAGTCCGCCGTTTGCTCGTTTCCGGTGATTAGAAAATTGCCCCCAGACGCGGGAAATTTGAAAAAGCGCGCTCCTAACAGCGCAAATTGCGCAGTAAGGAGTGTATTTCAGACTTTTTAATGTGACCATCGTAATTTCCGTGTCATTTAACCTTTAAAAAGTCTATTCACGCGGCTGTATCTCTTACATGCAACAGGCCCATTACACCAAAGGTGTCTTTGACGATTAATATAAATTATTCATCATTATTCATTAGCCAAGACATCATGTATTCTTGACCTCACATGTGAGTTTTTATGAATTTCCTTTATTTTCTTTGTATTCAGCTATGTCCTCAAAGATAGAATCCTAAATTATTCGTGAGTATATTATTTTGATAAGGTATGTGTTTTGCTGATGAAATTCTATTTTTTGGTTTACAGCAACAGGAAACCCCGGTAATTGATGTTGCCGGAAAAGAGTATGTGGTTGCCTTGTATGATTACACTGAAAAATCTCCTCGTGAAGTATCTATGAAGAAAGGCGACATACTTACTTTACTAAACTCCACAAAGAAGGTTAGTAGTGTTAGTACTTTAACCCTTTCCGGTCCGGGGTCATTTTGCCACGGCCGCCGTAGCAGGTCCGCATGCTTTTTTCGGAAATCAGCCGATACTAGCTCCCAGAGAGTCCACTAGAGGCTGTCAAACGCTGGCGGGTTCGGAAATATTTGACAACTGATCTGCACACAAGTTAAAACTTTTGGGCTACTCTATCCGACATCGGATCTGAACCGGTTTTTTTGCAATGTCATATATATCCAACTTTGGACTGGAAATGCAGTAGAACTCTACGTAGGAAACAAAACTGCTGAACTAACATCCTGGGATGTTAAAATCTGACTACCCTAGAATATTGATATGAATGCTCCGGCTGTCATCATAACATTCTTGCGACACTGAATTAACAACAGAAGGGCTCGAATCAACATTCTGGACTTGTCAGAATACTCCCGGGTTGTTACTAGAGTAATTACTTTTCCGTTCAGTTTTCTTCAAAGTAACCTTTGTAAGTAAGGTACCCTTGTTTTGATTAATTTGCAGCTTTCACTCTTAATTCAAGTGTTACAGCTTTACCCCAAAATTTTATCATTCATTTTAGTCACAGGGTCTAATTTTAAGAGCCTTCAGAATTTTCTGGCAAAAATATTAATTTTCAGGCGCACTACACCTACTGCCCTCGGTAAAGTTGGAACAGTGCTGGACTTTAAGCTCTTGAAATTTTCCTTAGATCAGTATAAAAGAGTCATAGGAATATAATCCTTAGCATATACTTGTTAGTATTTGTGCCTATTTAGTTTGGCTGTGCATTCACCTTTTGGTATTTGTCTTCAACAGGACTGGTGGAAAGTTGAAGTCAACGATCGTCAAGGATTCATCCCTGCAGCTTATGTTAAGAAAATCGAGGCTGGGCTGACTGCTTCCCAACAGAACCTTGCAGACAGCAGTTCCATCTCTGCTCGTCAAAACCAGATTGAAACGGAATATGATCACTTACTGGCATTGGCCCGTGAGCGTCAGAACAAGCTTAATGAGACTGTCAAGGCTTACGTTTTAGTTCGTGAAGCTGCAGAATTGGCTGCTTGGATCAAGGATAAGGTAGGCTAATGTCTACTTTGATAATTACTCAGGGAAACTGCTTTATGATCACTAATTTATCATTATGTTTTCATTTTAAATCTCATTCCCTGAAAATAGTATGTGGAATATACTTCACAGTCCCGAGGAAAAGGGGCCGTGGTCCACAAAACTCAAAATTGAGTTATCGATGTTAGAGTGTTGAGGAGTGTTTAATGAATACTTTGCTACAAAAAAAGCGCATTAATTTCAATCCAAACTGAAAAAATGACTGTTTGAAGTTCACAATTATAAAAATACAATTCTGCGGAAACTTAAAATTCTAGTCCACTGGGCTCAACGTACAAAATCACTCGATTACAATGCAAATTCAAGACCTTGTTGTCATCCTTCCTCCACTGGGGAAAAAATCCCTACAAACACAGTAATGATTAAGCTTGAAGGATGAACACAAAAAAAAAACGAAGATGAGATTAGAGAGACAATTCTTTTACTAGATGAGAATGGTAAATTAGCACAATCAATGAATCAAATTTTCACATCAATATACTTTTAAAAAAAAAAAAAACAGATGCTTTCTACTACTTATCTATCTTCTTCTTCTACCTTATTCCATCGCAGAGAAGCACATATATGTTCAAATTGTATGAATTTGATCCCTACCAGTGATCAATGTATTGTAACATGTTCATAACTGTCAATTATTTTTTATCAGCCGCTTTGACGTCCCTATTCTTTTTGTGTAATCATTTTCCAGGAAAATCATGCTCCTGTTCAAGATGTCATTGAAACAGTTGATCTGGAACAAGTTGAGGTAATGCAAAAGAAATTTGATGATTTCCAAACCGACCTCAAAGCGAACGAAGTTCGTCTTGCTGAAATGAATGAAATCGCTATGCAGCTCATGTCCCTTGGCCAAACTGAAGCTGCCCTAAAAATTCAAACTCAGTTGCAGGTACAAAAATTCAAATGTATTTTAAGTTTCAGTTACTTTGAAGTTCTTTGGTTCTTTAACATTTTCCTCTAAGAATACAGTGTGATCTGAAGATTTTATGAATGCAATCATTTCTCCGTAATCCTTATTTGTCCTGCTGCATTGTTCTCGCAGTGTTTTTTCCTCTTCTCACCCTGGTGATCCCTTCTATCCCTGGATAATATAAAAATGGAGAAGAAGAATTGCTCAATAAGTATACAGCAAGACCTCCTTGTATACTTATTTTAGTATGAGCAAGTTTCCTCAAAGGGCAGGTCCTGTTTAAGCAGGCCCTAACAGTCGAATTGGTTTTATTTTCTTGCTGGTCAACACGATCAATTTATTGCTGGGTCAAGAGGTTATATAAAGGATAGTTTCCTTGTTGACTGAGATGTAATGGTATTGTCTCATCTTATTTTGTATCCTCAATATTTCCTTATAAATAAGATTATTCTTGTATGGTTGAACACCTTTTTTTGACAAAATTGTTATACACTAACCACGGTATACACTTTTTTTATCTTTTAAACTGATCGAGTCAACTCAATGTCGTTTTCATGCAGGATTTGAATCAAAAATGGACTTCTCTGCAACAAGTGACCCAAGAACGAGCCACTCAGCTTGGGTCCGCCCATGAGGTTCAAAGATTCCACAGGGATGTTGATGAAACGAAAGATTGGATCCAAGAAAAAGAAGAGGCTCTCAGCAACGAAGATCTTGGTAAAGATCTCCGCAGTGTCCAGGCATTGCAAAGGAAGCATGAAGGGCTAGAACGAGACTTAGCTGCATTAGGAGACAAGGTAATTACACACATCACTAAAACATTCAACTAACCAAGAGTGGCGGTAGCCACCACCGGTCGAGAAAAAGGACGTCCTACTAAAATACTAATACATTCAACTGCTCATATATGTGAAATCCTTTTTCTAAATTAAGAGATTCGTCGAGTATCCACTGAACCAGCATTCCAGGTTTTTTTTTAAAGTCAGGAAAAAGTCTGAAAATTTTAAAATGAAGGGAAAATTTTTACCTGAGCTGAGACACTTCCTGACGTGACCTTTGGTTTTTATTTTTAACAATCAATGTTCTTGTCTGTGCAGATTCGTCAACTGGATGAAACTGCGAACAGATTAATGCAAACCCATCCTGAGACTGCCGAACAAACTTACGCCAAACAAAGAGAAATCAATGAAGAATGGACTCAGCTGACCGCCCGAGCCAACAGCCGAAAGGAAAAACTCCTTGATTCATATGATTTGCAGCGTTTCTTATCTGATTATCGCGACTTGATGTCATGGATTGGCTCCATGATGGGACTCGTCTCCAGCGATGAGTTGGCATCAGACATAACTGGAGCTGAAGCTCTTCTCGAACGGCATGGGGTAAGTTTAATTTTGATGTCATTAATTTTTTCACAAAAGTGACAGAGATTCATAACTAGTATGAATATCAAAGTAATCAGGAGAATTAGATGTAACTTTCAACCTCAAAAAAGTAAGTTGAGTTCACTTACTTCCGTATTTCTACCCTTAATTTTTTCAATTCATTTTAGTAAAAAAAGCGCAGAAATTATCCTTGTTGAAGACAAGCATGCACAAAGTTAACCTTGCAAAACATTAAATTATTATTTCAATTTTGATTTTTTTCAAATCTTCTCTTTGTGTTCTCATAGGTCCTCTGATTGAAGTAAATACATAAAAAAAAAAATTATACAAGCAGTTTTTTGGAAGGGTGATCCAATAGTTCAGACTTCGTCACTCCCCCCTTCTCCCTTTCCTGAATTATTCATTTTTATTTTGCCTCCAAATTTGAAACTGAAAATATACTCTCCCTCGAAAGTGGCTTTTTAATTTGTGTGTACATAATTTCATGAAATTATTCTTCCCGGAAAGAATGGACTCTAACTTAAAATTTACTTTTGGCAACCCATCTTCCCTTGTTATGACACACTTTTGGAAAGGAAAGAAAAAATATACACATGCTAAAAAGCGAGTCAAGTAGGCTAGAAACTTAATACCGGACTCTAAACTGATTACAGAATTAGGGAATAAAAGAAAAGATTTTAAGTTAGTTAGTCGAATTAAATTTGATTTATCGAAAAATAGTGTTCCTGAAAGATGACCCAGACTGTCGAAACATAAACTATGTTAGGAAGTTGACTGTGATTCCAACTGTGATGTGTATTCCATGCAAGGCAACAAATTACAATATTTGGTGTATTTTTCTAGAGTCTACGAGCTGAGATTGATGCTCATTATGGGCTTCCGCAGGTACAACCTGAATTTCGTGTAACGTGATGGTTGTAATTGTGTATCCGTTTTTGTCGCGCTTCTTCTTTAACATTTTGTGCCTCTTTGATTTTATCAGGTCTCAATTAGGGTGTCTACTCATTAGAGCTAAGAAAACGAATTTTTTATTCAGAGCTACCACGGTGAAGTGGAGGCTGGTACAGCAATAGCAATTAGGAGTAAAACACCAAAAATGTGTAAAATATTCATGTGTTTTTATGAACTAAGGTATCATAACCATCAAAAAAAAGAGAAGGAAGAAATTTATTGTATTTAAGAATTCGTCTCTGGAGCTCAAAAATGACCTCCTGAAGTAGTTAGAGAACGGAATTTCTGAACCTGGTGTACCATCAGTTGTTTTTACGATTGCGCAACTATTTCCCATATTGCAAAAGGCCAGTGGTCTAAAAAAACAAGAATTTTTTGCTTGATAGTAAGACTAAAATTTAGAGAAAATTTCTTTGGATGACACCCATGAAGCAGAAGCATCTAAATTTTTTAACTCTGAGGAACATCATGCACAATTTGAGAAATATCTGGTGGTACTTATTAGGTTTTGAGTTTCCACTCTTCATTCATTTTCTGAGATGAATCACTATTTTATTACCATCCTCTTACCCTGCTCAAATCAGTCTCTCAACTATCTCCAGAATACAATTAGAATCTCTGATAATTTTTTTAAGGAACATACTTGCTGTAGGAGACATATTTTGTCAAAAAGTTTTATATGTGATCATTTAAGTAAGAAGTGAAAACCTAGAGTTTCTCTCCAAGCCACAATCACTCTTCACCAGGTCGATATACTCCAGGATTAAGAAGTCACACTCCCCTGATCTAGAAACTTTGAATATGTCTTTAGTTTTTCAATATTTAATGTCTCTACAGAAAAAAGAAATACGTTTGTCTCTAATGAGTTGAAACTTACTTCATGCTTGTCAAAGATGTAGTGTTAGGAAATTCTTATCTATATACATAATTGCTTCTTAAATCTTTAGATAAAGAAATAAGGAATTAATAAAGGAAACAAAATATGAGATGTCTTAAGTTTATCAAGAGTTTTTTTTTTTTTTTTTTTTTTTTTTTTTTTTAATACATTAGTAGACACCCTGAGCATTGTTGAAATATTTCTTTCTCTTCTGCAAATCAAAAGCTTCTGAACGCTTAAGCTCTTAACATTGAGTTGCATAAATATGTAGTTGCCACAACTTGTTCTTGCTATTTTTTGGGCGCACTTATGCTGAAAAGAAGTATGTGCATAGGGTTTGCGCGCAACTTAGTTCCTTTTAGCATAAATACGTCCATTTAATAGTCACGACACAAGCCCTTGCATAGAAAATTTTCATTGCTCTGACTCGCTAAAGGTTTCATTCCAAAATTAATGCTGGCTGCTCTGACCGATAGGAACTTGTTGCTTCACATTCGTTTCTAAGACTCAGTATCACAAGGAGTCTGATCGTAGGATTAAATATTTTGTATTTTCGATTGCTACTGATATAGCTGCTTTCAAAATAAATCTGTGGTGTTATGAAATGTTTTCTCAGCATGCTCAACTAAAAAAGAATAGGTTTTTAACATTGAGATTGCTTCCTCTTCAGAGACTTTTTATAAGTGTAGGCAAATATTCAGACAAGATGGAAAATTTGCAATGATCCTTTTGTAAATCTACCACTTGAATTGACAGCAGATGAAACATATACAAATTTTGTCAAATGTTAGGAAGATTTCATAGAGTATCTATAGGAAATATATTTTATTCACATTTCTTTGCGTTTCAAAACATGACATGACTACAATTGCTCTATATGACGCTGAAAGCTGTCTTAAAGTTAAAAGCGAAATGAGCTTTTGCCTGTTGCAAAGCCAAGTCAAATGTGGTGTTTCAAAATAATTCAGAAAAATAGGTGCAATCTAATTTTTTGCACACTAATTGTTATTCCTGTGAAGGAGACTTTAAAACCTCTCATAGTCAAAGCTTTACTTTTGAGCCCTGTTCTTTGGAATCAGAAGGTAGAAGCATTCAGAGGATCAAACTTTTTCAGCTGCCAACCTCTATTGTCTCTTCATGCTATTATTTGAATACCAAACCCTCAACTGTATTGTCCTTAATGAGTCCTTAAATTATGAAATCATTCCAGCATTGTAAGTAGTTGAGAATACTTATAATGCACCCAACTTTTTCACCAAGTTTGGTGTAATTGGAAAGGATATTGAAGAGAAATATCCCCATAATCAACGAAAATTAGTATGTAGACTGTAACCTCATTTCTTGTTATATTTTTCATGAATTATTCGTACTCGTTAGCTTGATAATAATTGTTTAAGTTTTGGCTTAACACTCACAATTTGTAGCTTTTCTATATTTTCAGACAAAACGTATTAGTCGTTCACATTCATTTCACCTTAACTATCTTACCAAAAGTCAACTCTGCTGCAGATTGTGACTAGTAAATGCTGAATTTGAAACTGTTTAAATGTAAGAAATTAATCGCCCTTCAGAAGATTAGAGAATATGCATAGAAACTCTAAATAACCTGATTCATTTCATCTCTTCGTTGCTAAACCTTCACCCATTTTGTCTTGGTGACTTATCTTTCATTATTGCCTTCCCTGGCTCTGAAAATCGTATTTTCCTCCAACTAGTTTAATATAATTCCTTTTAAGGTGAAGAAATGATTGGTTTGCTTTGTAATTGCTTAATGCAATTATAATCTCTTTCCCAGCAAGTATGCGCGATGCACCTCAAAAATGATTTTACCTTTACAGGAACATCGAACGGAGATTGATGCAAGGGCTGGAACATTCCAAGCATTCGAAATGTTTGGACAGCAACTTCTGCAGTCTGGCCATTACGCAAGTGTCGAGATCCAAGAAAAGCTGGAAAGCATGGCTGAGGCTCGTCAAGAATTGGAAAAGTAAGTTTACCCAATACAACTCATTAATATTTCAAAGATCAACAATTATTTTTGTTATATGTGGCCCCTCTCTCTAAAATTGTTTTATTTTATTGCCTTGTTAATACTCCTATGACTTCATTTCACAGAAAAATATCATAAAAATTGCTCATATTAATGATAAGTTTTCTTATATTAAATCCTGTTCTCATTTGAGTGAGGCACTTGGGCAGCAGAATAGGCACTTTTTCCCAATTGATTTAAAGTGCAACCTATTTGCATTAATTTTAAGCACTTAATATTCAAGGAATCAATTAGACACATTTGTAGAGACCCTAGATTTCATTTATACTTTGAATGTTTTTAGAGCATGGGTTGCCCGACACCTGCAATTGGATCAATGTCTGGAACTGCAGTGGTTCAACCGTGACTGTGAATTGGCCGAGAATTGGATGGCAGCTCGTGAAGCTTTCTTGGCCGCTGATGAGGTTGATTCAAAGGGTGACAACGTGGAAACTTTGATCAAAAAACACGAAGATTTCGACAAAGCTGTCAATGCTCATGAAGAAAAGATTGCTGACGTACAAAGATTTGCTGATCGCTTGATTGCTGCTGAGCATTACGCTGCGGTTCCTATCAATGACAAGAGAGAGCAAGTGTTAGAACGTTGGCAGCATCTCAAAGAAGCGCTCTTCAAGAAACGATTCAAGCTTGGCGAATCGCAGACCCTTCAGCAGTTCAGCCGTGATGCTGATGAATTGGAAAATTGGATCGCAGAAAAATTACAGCTGGCAACTGAAGAAAGTTACAAGGTTAGTGTTGAATTTATGGATTTAACACCATTTCATGTGACAAATGTCATGCTATTCCTTACCTTTCCTTTCCTTTCAGAAAAAGTACCAAAAAATACATAAGAACTTGGAGTTTTAAAAGAATATAATTTACTGAATGTAACAAATATTCAAATAGAAAATACAACAAAATCTAATGCAAACAAATGATTGTATTCTTTATAATTTCAAAGGTCCCTTGCCTTTGGGACAATCACACTCACAAATATGTTTTGATAACATTTTTCTTCTAACCGATTAAAATATTTTTCTTTATGATTTATTCTGAAGGATCCTGCCAATATTCAGTCAAAACACCAGAAGCACCAAGCATTTGAAGCTGAGCTTGCTGCTAATGCTGACCGAATTCAAAGTGTTCTTGCTGTTGGACAGAATCTCATTGACAAGCACCAATGCGCTGGATCCGAAGAAGCTGTCCAGGTAATTTCCTCTTGGCAAAAAAGAAGTGTTAGTTTTCTTATTCTTTCAGAAAGGCTTTTTATTCTTGTGATAACTGATGGACACGAGAAGTTTTGTCACAAATAAATTGTTCTGAAACGGAAGATTGTGATGCAGAAACTGCTAGTTTTAACATTACAGAGTCACTAGATTTGCACCAGTTAATTTCTTGGTGATGACATCGGTGACCTAAGTGATGATTCTGATTACATTAGGGCTAACATCTATGACGAATGACTTCATTAAGATTAAAGGTGCTATCCGTAATGTTAGTATTATAATGGAATACAATAATCACATCACCATCTTTCAGAAAATCAGCCCCAGGACTGATAAATTCTTTTTTCATTTTCATAATTTTCTTTTATATTTTATGAGCCACCAGCAGAGAAAAACATGATTTTCTACTAATAGCGTAAAAAAATTGTATTACCGTCAATGTAGTTTTTAATTGGAATTACATTTTTATTAGGGTACATTTAGTTAATATTTTTGGGCAGTACTCAAGCTTGTCTAATATTTTCATAGGCTCGACTTGGGTCCATCGCTGAACAGTGGGAATATTTGACCCAAAAAACATCGGAGAAGTCTCTCAAATTGAAGGAAGCAAACAAGCAGAAAACGTACATTGCTGCCGTAAAAGATTTAGACTTCTGGCTGGGCGAAGTTGAGTCACTACTAACATCTGAAGATTCCGGAAAAGATTTGGCATCTGTCCAAAATCTTATCAAGAAGCATCAGCTTATTGAAGCTGATATCCAGGCTCACGAAGACCGCATTAAAGGTGAGGGTTTTTTTCTTTCTCTGTTTATTAAAATATATTCAGTGTGTTGTTTCAACTGTTGAATTTGTGCAAGTTACTGTAATGGACCATTAGACAAGGTAGGACTACAAGCACCACAAACTTATGTTTCCTATCAAAATTTTACGCAGAACATGTTAGGCATGTTCCAAAAGTAAAAAAATTATCCACAGTTGAGAAATTAGCCTTTTCAGTTCACATATAAATCAGTAAAGCCGAACTTTGCACTGCAATCAGCCCAAGACACTAAACCAACAAATCTGATGACATATCATTTATACAGAATCATTTGTGTCAAATTATAACTGGAGTTAATTTTACAATTGAATTGGTACTACAAATTGAAATTAACTACGTTGAAATTCTCTGATTTGAGGTTTTTTCAAAGATATTAAATTTACTTTATTTGTTGTTCTCGATCGGTCGATATTAGTTATATGTATCTGTTGGCTTGAAAGAACGGAATGAAATGCAAGTTCAAAATTTCCTCTCACTTTTCTTTTTTTTGATCGTGCAGATATGAATAGTCAGGCTGACTCCCTTATTGAAAGTGGGCAGTTCGATACTGGCAGCATCCAAGAAAAACGACAGTCCATCAACGAACGTTACGAACGAATTGCAAATCTTGCAGCTCATCGACAGGCACGTCTGAACGAAGCAAACACCCTTCATCAGTTCTTCCGAGACATTGCAGATGAAGAGTCATGGATAAAGTATATTATTTTTCTCCTCTTTTCATTTTCTTTTATTTTATTTGACAAGAAATTAATTAGCAATAGTCCTTATTTTGAAGAAGCATTTTTATCGGCAACATCTTTTTATGTAAATATGGCAAGATTTGTAGATCATCTCTCAGACTGAGTTCGTCCTGGAAGTTTATTTAAGGTTGCTCTCTCTTCCTGAACTCAATTGCCAATCTGGTGGTGTTCTATGCATTTCTATCAATTGACATCTTTCAATTAATTCTTTAAAATTCACATTTATGCCAAATTGTCTCAAAATTTACTATTATAGTCCCAATTTAAAAGGTTATTGTCTCCCAAAGATCTAAATATTTGTATCATATTTGAAAGTAGACAAAATCCTCTGAGGCAGAATTATAACGCAATCTATTTCATGAAGTGTCCTTGGTCCATTGCCTTTTTATAACAGTGGCATAGTGAAATTGTTTGATTGCTATGATAATGATTTTTAGTCGTGCGGCGAAGCCGTATAGACTCTAGGTTTCGCCGGAGGCTAAAAAGTGTCCACACTTTTAGGCTAAGTCCAAGAGGAGAATTTTCGAGGAACCAAGTAACATATGAGGTATTGATATCGGTGCATTTTGGCCCAATGGAGATGTTACATGTCCGAGGAATTTGCAATTTAACTGTTGATTCTTGTATAAAAGTTCGCGAGGAACACAATGGTGCCACTGGTTTTCTCTGAAATCATCTCCCAAGCTCAAAAAAAGCTCTCAAGTTGAGG